TGTGATTGACTTATTTCACTCCGCATAATGTCCTCCAGTTTCATCCATGTTATGAGATGCTTCACAGATTCATCATTGTTCTTTATCATTGCATACTGTGTGTATGCCAGTACCAGGCTGTTTTGACTACTGTGGCGGTATAATAGGTTCTAAAATCAGGCAGTGTGAGGCCTCTCACTTTGTTCTTCTTCTTCAGTAATGCTTTACTTAGACAGCAGGATATCTTGCCTAAGGTCACAAATTTAGTAAGTGAAGGAGCTTGCTTGATCAAGCCCTTTAGACATTTTCCCATAATTTTCTTGTTGAATTTAAAGGGTGTATTTTATAATTTGATAAGATATATTAATAAAGTTCAACACCATTGATTAAATACCTAATATGTGTCTGGAGTCCCTGGGTGGTACAGAAAGTTAACATACTTGGCTGCTCACTGAAAGGCTGGCGGTTCGAGTCCACCCAGAGTCTCCTCGGAAGAAAGGCCTGGTGATCTGTTTCTGTAACATCAGTCATTGAAAACCCTATGGAGCACAGTTCTAACTCTGACACACATGGGGTCACTATGAGTCAGAATTGACTCACAGCTGCTGGGTGGTGGGTTAATATATGTCAGGCACCCTCCCAGGCTCTGGGGACACAAAGATGAATCAAGCACAGTCCAAGCCCGAGGAACTCCCATTCCAGGGATGGATAAAGACAATAAAGCACCAAAAGAAAAAACAAAACCAAAAGAGGTGTGGCTACTGTTATGGTAGACAAACATGTGGGGTGTGGTGGGAATACAGAGATGCACCTCCCCTGGATTAGGGAGGCAGGTAGGGCTCCCAGGAGAGATGATGCCTGAACTGACTCCTAAGTAAGGCTTCCTAGGTGGGGAAGGTCATTCAAGGTGGAGGGAATAGCTGAAATGTGAAACACTGGAGAGGTGAGAAGTTTGTTACGTTTGCAGGCAGTGTGATGGGACGGAGTGGAAGGCAGGAAGGATGATTTTGCATAGTCAGAGAGGGCATAGAGCAAGGGACAGGAGTCAGGTTACAAAGTGTGGTGTATGACAAGCTAAAGAGTCAGTTAACTTGTGTAAGACTGTTAGGTTTCATGCTAAATTCATATTTGGAGTTATATGCATATTGTGCTTTCTTTCTTGTATGATGGTACTACACATATATATATTTGCTTTTCAACACTTTCAAATTTTATTTTATTGTGTTTTAGGTGAAAGTTTACAGCACAAATTAGTTTCTCATTCAAAAATTTATACACAAATTGTTTTGTGACATTAGTTGCAATTCCTACATTGTGTCGGCACTCTCCCCCTTTCCCTTTACACCCCGGGTTCTCCCTGTCCATTCGTACAGGTTTCCTGTCCCTTCTTGCCACCTTCTCCTCTTAGCTTCTGGGCAAGGGTTGCTACTTTGGTCTCGTATACTTGATTGAACTAAGAAGCATGTCCCTCATGTGTGTTGTTTGTTTTATAGGCCTGTCTAATCTTTGGCTGAAAGGTGGACTTCTGGAGTGGCTTCAGTTCTGAGTTAGCAGGGTGTCTGGGGGCCATAGTCTTGGGGTTCCTCCAATTGCCGTAAGTCTGGTCTTTTTTTGTGAATTTAAATTTGTTCTACATTTTTCTCCTGCTCTGTCCAGAACCCTCTATTGTGATCCCTGTCAGAGCTGTCGGTGGTGGTAGCCAGGCACCATCTAGTTCTTCTGGGTTCAGGTTGGTGGAAGCTGTGGTTCATGTGGTCCGTTAGTCCTTTGGACTAATATTTTCCTTGAGTCTTTGGTTTTCTTCATTCTGCTTCGCTCTGGATGGGATGGGACCAATAGATGTATTTTAGATGGTGCCTCACCAGCTTTTAAGCCCCCAGATGCTACTCACCAAAGTAGGTTGTGGAACATTTACTTTATGAACTATGTTATGCCAGTTGACCTAGATGTCCCCTAAGACCATGGTCCCCAGCCCTCGCCTCCAGTAACTCAGTCCCTCAGGGTGTTTGAATGTGTTTAGGAAGCTTCTATGGCTTTGCTTTAGTGAAGTTGTGCTGACTTTCCCTATATTGTGTGTTGTCTTTCCCTACACCAAAGTTAACACTTGTCTACTTTCTAGTTAGTGATTTCTCCTCCCCACCCCTCCTCTCCCTGGTAATCATCAAAGATTGTTTCTTTCTGTGTGAAAACCTTATCTTGAGTTTTTGTAACAGTGGTCTCATACAATATTTGTCGTTTTGTGATTGACTTATTTCACTCAGCATAATGCCCTCCAGATTCACCCATCTTGTGAGATGTTTGGCGGATTCATCATTGTTCTTTATAGTCATGTAGTATTCCATTGTGTGCATGTACCATAATTTGTTTATCCATTTGCCTGTTGATGGGCACTTAGGTTGTTTCCATCTTTTTGCTATTGTGATGAATGCTACCATGAACATGGGTGTGCATATGTCTATTCGTGTGACAGCTTTTATTTCTCTAGGATATATTCCTAGAAGTAGGATTGCTGGATCGTATGGTATTTCTATTTCTAGCTTTTTAAGGAGGCAGCATATCATTTTCCATAGTGGTTGTACCATTTAACACTCCCACCAGCAGTGCATAGGAGTTCCAATCTTCCAGGAGCCTTTACAACATTTGGTATTTTCTGTTTTTTTGATTAGTACCAGTAATGTTGGGGCGAGATGGTATCTCATTGTAGTTTGGATTTGCATTCTCTAATAGCTACTGATTGTGAGCATTTCCTCATGTGTCTGTTAGCCACCTGAATGTCTTCTTTGGTGAAGTGTCTGTGTTCATATCCTTTACCCTTTTTTTAATTGGGTTATTCGTCATTTTGTTGTCAAGGTGTTGAAGTTTTCTATAGATTTTGGAGATAAGACCTTTGTCGGATATGTCAGAGCCAAATTTTTTTCCTAGTCTGTAGGTTTCCTTTTCACTCTTTTGGTGGAAGCCTTTTGATGAGCATAAGTGTTTAATTCTTCGTGCTATATTTTCAAGTCACTTTTTGCATAAGACTTAATCAGAATGAATAGGTTAGAAATGTCATTCAGCTACATGTTACAGAAACATGATTTTAGAGGTGTAAGCAGAGTCTACTGTGTGGTTATGCACTGTACCAGCCTGGCGCATACCATTCACACTGTAGTCTCTGAGAATGGCACCCCCTCAAGCTGTGCAGTGTACAACCTTGTTGACTATATGTGGAGGACAGGCAGCTCCACAATGCCGCCAAAGGCCTGGACTTAACGTCTCCCCCACCGTCTTTAGCATGTGTCTTTTATTCAGTTCTCAGAAGATGACTGCTGTGTCTCTAGGCATCACGTCTGCTTTCTAGGCAGTGAAAGGGTGAAGGATAGAGATGTGTGCCAGTGAGTCAGCCCCTTATAATTAATGAAATAGCTTTTCTGGAAGTCCTACCTGGCAGATACTACCTTACATCTGATTGGCCAGAACTGTGTCACATGACTACCCAGGCTACAAGGGAACCTCAGAAACTGAGTTTTTCCCCTGATCATGCCACCCTGAACAATATAAGGCATCTGTGAACTTAACCAGGAAGAGGAAGAGGAAGAGACCATTGTCTGCTACACAAAGCCTCTTCCAAAAGAACAGCATTTCTGAAGCATTTTCATACTTGTTCTTTCAAGTAAAAGTTATGTATGTGTTATCCGTTTATTTCTAACATTTCATATTATCCTTGATGTTAAGTACATCTGCTGTTCCTATCTTATATGTATATGTGTGTGTGTACATATTTAATTTTTGTTTCCTTGTTATTTCAGATGAAGCATTTCTGTCTCTAGCTTCAAATATTGAGGAACCAACTATACTCAACGTCACTAACACCAGCCTCACAATCAGGTTACCAGCTGCCAAAACAAACCTCACATGGTATGGCATTACCAGCCCTACTCCAACATACCTGGTATATTACAGAGAAGTTAACAGAAGGAAAAACAGCTCTGACCAGAAATGTATAATGCTGGTAAGATTGGAGCTAGTGGTCTTTGTCTTTTCACAAGATGTACTTTTTTAAATAAAATTCTTAGCCACAGCCAAGTATTTCCTATGTGCTCTGAAATGCACTATTATGCAACTTTTTATAGCTAATGATTTATTGAAACATGTTATGTTTTAGTCTTCTTGCCTTGGAGTAAGCTAAGCTTCAAGAAAGTATATTAACTCAGACCGTTTGGTGCATTGCCAGCCAAGGTAACCATTTCCTGAGTGCCCTGAAAGAACTGGGTTTGTTCCCTTCCTGGATGATTTAATTATCCCCAGAAAGTGATAGAGGCTAGTTTTTGTGGCCTGGCTAGCAAGGGTGAAAAACGAATTGGATAGAGTGAACATCACCCTGTTCCTCTCTTCCATAGCACTTACCTAAGATACAAATTGTATATTATGCTTTTGTGTATTATTTTCTATATGTTGCAAAATGTACTATTATGCAATGACTATGTCTGTTTTTATTCATCATCCTAGTACCTCGCACAATACTTGGCTTTGTATAGGTATTCACTAGATATTTCTTGAATGAATGAATGAATGAATTGGCACAATTTATTCTGTCATTGGCATAAGTGTTTCAGTTGCCCTGGTGATGGAATCATATACATCCAATATTTTGCTTGGTGCTTGGCTTTAACCAACCCAATGGTGAAATTTTCCATTATTTATTGGACATTAAGAACTGTGCTTTGCCAGAAGGTACACATGACTCTTTGTTATTTTCTTTATCTATTTTAACCTTTCTTAACATATTTTTAAAAGGAGTTGTTCCAGACACACATTGGACCACTTAGCTGACCAAGATTGGGCCTGTGGCATTGGACATTGCTGTAATTGGAACTAATCTACCTTACTTCTTCACACTGATTAACATGGGTCTGAGGCAGTGGTTCTCAACCTTCACTGCACATTGGAGCTTTTAAAATCTCTGGGGCCCAGATTTTACTCTAGAAGAATTAAATAAAAATCTCTGGGCTGGGACCCAGACATCAATATTTTCTGAAAACTTTCCAGATGATTCCAAAGTACAACCAAAGTTGACTACCATTGGTCTAAGGAAATTTTCTTTTACTCTCTTAAACTTTATTTCTAAAAATTATTAGATAATGTAGCTTAATCTTTTATTGTATTCATTTATGTTTCACATCTTTATAACACTATCTTGCTGAATTTCTAATGCAATGCTATTAAAATAGTATCCTCCTCTTCTAGGAATTTAGCTTCCTATGTGAAATGAGTTATACCACAAAAGTGACTAAGGGCTGCCAGTCATTTGAGATTTTTTCTTTGGAGAGATTAAACAAACTCAAGTCTGGGTGGACTAGGAGAGTGAATATTGTCATTCATGATCCAGGATTGAAAAATAAAATAACTTCTGAGCCTTTTTTTTTTTTCTCTCTCTGATTAAATAACTTCTTCCCATTTGTACAAAGACCAAGAATCAGGTAATGACTTTTAAAAATTAATTACAGGAATTTCAGGAGAGTATAGCTCTTATTGAAGGATTACAACCATTTTCAACATATATGATACAGATAGCTGTAAAGAATTATTATTCAGATTCTTTGGAACAATTACCTCTGGGAAAAGAGATTTGGGGAAAAACTAAAAGTGGAGGTGAGTTATGGGCTTGATGTGGGTTTCTAGAGTGAATTTTTTGTGTATGATGTATGTGATGTATATGCTTATATATGCATTTTTTCCTGAATGTCAAGTAATCTCTATTTTGTGAGCTTTTTAAGCTTATTAAGAAAAATGTATTTATAGAAAAATATTTTGATGACCTGACCCTTGCTCTAACCCCTGAAGATGGTGAATAATATTGCATCTAAATGAAAACCGAGTAGGAAGTGAAACATCAAAATCAACACTGCTTGACCAGGAATCACAGTCTTTGGTTTCACCACACAGTGTCACTCTTATCTCATGTATTCATAGGTCTCTGTATGTGGTGAGACTGGGAAAACCAGCTTTTCCCTATGTGAATTTCAGAGGCCACTGAGATGTAAAGTAATAAAACATCACTGCTTTAAAGAAAATGGATCTAGAATCTAAAAAGGTGTTCTAGGAGGTGGTGATCATTATAAGATGATGTCATTGATGACATTCACAAAACTCATTAGACTTGAGGATACCGTCATTGGCCATATCCTTGGGCTGGGGTCAGAGAATGATTTTGTCTTTAGGCAGGCGTCCTGTTAACTTAGCATTATATAAACGTCTGGCTTTCATTCTGAACACGTGTCATTCATTCTGCTCACATGACGTGTTTATTCCTCAAGCAAGACCCCACTACTTCCTTCCACCTTTCGGTGCTATTGCAACATCCATTGTCTTTCGTTGCTATTTATTTCAGTCCCAGAAGCAGTTTGTCTCATTAACACAACCATGCGGTCAGACACCAGTCTCATTATTTCCTGGGGAGAATCTCTCAAGCCAAATGGACCTAAAGAGTCAGTCCGTTATCAGCTGGCAATCTCACACCTACCCCTAATTCCTGAAACTCCTCTAAGACAAAGTGAATTTCCGAATGGAAGGCTCTCTCTCCTTGTCAATGAACTGTCTGGTGGAAAACGTTATGTGTTAAAGGTACAGTGAGTATACGGGGTACATTTTATTGCCATTCTCAAGCACAAGGTTCTGAAAAGGCTGAACAATTGTTCTCTTTTACGAAAAGGTTTTGGCCTGCCACCCCGAGGAAATGTGGTGTGCTGAGAGTCATCCTGTCACTGTTGAAACGTTCGACACACCTGAGAAGCCTTACTCCTTGGTGCCAGAGAACACTAGTTTGCAGTTAGATTGGAAGGCTCCATCTAATGTTAACCTCATCAGATTTTGGTTCGAACTCCAGAAGGTAGACCTCGCTATATACTTTTTATGCAAATCTTTATTTCACACTATAGAAGAAACTGGAAGTCCTTTTTCATATATGTAGCACAATCTGTCCCATAAATCAATACTATATTTCACGACATTCATTGACTCTGGCTTGGTACATAGAAGCACTAAGCTATTTTTTGAAGGAAATTTCTTTTCCAGAGAGATTAATTGCTTTTCAATTTATGATTGGAGTAAAACAAGTCTTTTTGCTTTGGTAATTTTTTTTCATGAAAGTCCATTAAAATCGTGTTTTTCTTATTTGTCCAAGGTAGTCCCTACCAGAGACAAACGTTTCTGAAGTTCCAATCTCTGAGACACCACAGCCTTTGAAATAATTTGAAAATTATTGAAATAATTTGAAAATCCCTCTGTGGTAGCCTTCAACCCTGCACTTGTTAGCCTCTGACAAATGGAAGGCCCTGACTCCCTTGTGATTTACTGGGATAGCCCGAGGCACCGCTCCAAGTTGGTGGTCTGCCCAGAACATTCATTGCTCTAATGCTTCTAATACTCTACAGTTTTCCAGCAGCCGCCAGTGCTCCTTTCCCTCAAAACTCTTGGTCAAAATCTCCCTGACATTTCAAGGAGCTCTGATAATTTCTGGATGGTTTGGCATGTTGGGAAACTTAGGCTATTCACTTAAGGTAATTTCTACACTGGATGACCAAGAGGCAGGGTCAAAAACGGCTAAAATTTTTAAGCCAGGACTAAATCAATCAATCAGTCTGTCTCTCTCTTTTCTCTTATCCTTCCTCTCTCTTTTTGTCTCAAAGAAAGTTCAGACTAGATACTGTGGGTTCAATGTACCTGTTTCATTCAACTATATGTCTCAGTGGGACCGATACATTTATCAGTTTAATGTAGGCAAAGTCACTGACATTGGCATTTCTATTTTTTTCTTTTTCATTCTTTCCACTCCTTTTTTCCCTTTCTTTTTGTAACATGGGGTCTACTTCCTGAAAGTGCTATAGAGAATCATTCCTAGTTAACTAGAAAACCAGTATAGTGTCCTGCCAATGAAATGACTTGACCTTGATGAGTGCTAAATGAAAAAGGAGTTATAAAGTTTATTTATGGAAACTGACCTTCTAAGGAAAACACACCAGGAACCCTTGACAAAATGTCACATCTTTTATCTTTCCTATTTGTATATTTCATTTTACTTGGATCCACAATCAATGCCCATGGAAGCAGCAGTCAAGAAATCAAACAACGCATTGCATTGGGCAAATCTGCTGCAAAAGACCTCTTTAAAGTGTTAAAAAGCAAATATGTCATTTTGAGGAGTAAGGTGCACCTGACCCAAGCCATGGTTTTTTCAATTACCTCATATGCATGCAAAAGCTAAATAATAAATAAGTAAGACGGAAGAAGAATTGATGACTTTGTATTATGGTGTTGTCAAAGAATATTGAATATACCATGGACTGCCAGAAGAATGAACAAATCTGTTTGAAAAGAAGTACAGCCAGAATGCTCCTTAGAATTGAGGATGGTGAGACTTTGTCTTATGTACTTTGGACGTGTTATCAGAAGGAACCAGTCCCTGGAGAAGGACATCATGCTTGGTAAGGTAGAGGGTCAGTGAAAAAGAGGAAGACCCTCAACGAGATGGATTGATACAGTGGCTGCAACGATGGGCTCAAACACAGCAACAATTGTGAGGATAGTGAAGGACCTGGCAGTGTTTCATTCTGTTGTGCATAGGGTCCCTATGAGTCAGAATCAACCCAACGACACCTAACAACAATTATTTACACATTAAGTGAAAAAACCCCCACCATTTTCCAATAATAATATTAAGGGTCCAAATATACAGATTTTTAGAAATGTCACAAAGAAAAAAGATTAAGAGAGTTAGAATTAGAGACCCAATAGTCTAAAGTGGAATGAAAGTAACATATCTTATATTTAACTTCTAACCTTGCTACTTAGTAGCTGAGTGATGGTGGGAAAAATTTTCTTCTTTTAGAGACCCAGTTTTCCTATGTATAAAAAAGAAATGCTGGCCACATGTCTGAAGAGGATGCTGGAAGGAAAAACTAAATGTTTTTAGTTTGTAAGTCACTGTGGACTTAATCAAGCTATGTAAAAATGTTATTATTTTGAAATTTGCAAATTAAAATTGAAGGTATCATTGTTTTCATCCATCAAGTTCCCTTGACTGAGAATTTGCATTCCTAGACACTCTGATTTAATGTAGATGTCTACAGTTGGGGATAACAAGAAGTCACAGGTCTGAAACTTGTGCATGAGAAATAGTCAAAGGCACATGCCCCACCTTGGACTTACCTTAAGAACTGTCATTGAAGTTAGTTATACCTCAACATAAGAAACAAAATGGCTGTAGGTGGTGGGGCTAATATTAGGGCTCAAACATTCATAAAGGAGCTCTTATTTTTTAATAAAATGTAAATTGTATTTAAATTTTAATCATATGCTGTAGGCTTGTGAGTTTTTATGTTTAACAAGGTTTTCTTAAAGAAACAAAAAATGTTAATGGAGACTTTTTTTTCTAGTGGAAATACAATGAGTTTTGCCATGTGAAAGCTTCATGCAGCCAAGGTCCTGTGTATGTCTGCAATATCACAGGTCTACAACCTTATACTTCCTATAATATCCGAGTAGTGGTGGTTTATATAACAGGGGAAAACAGCACCTCACTTCCAGAAAGCTTTAAGACAAAAGGTGAGTACTAACATACTCAGTACTCAGAGAACCGCACCTAGAAGTTTCTTTTCTCATCATTTATTTCACTGACTCTAGAAGTTGAAATTTTTCTAACAGTACTTTAAATTACTATTTCTAGAGTTTGAGTGAAGAAATTGGAAAGAATCAGAAGTCTTTATAGGTAGTGTCCTCTAATGAGATAATACTGAACTCGTCTTGCAGAATTCTGAATTGGGCAAACTTTTTTCTTCATGCAGTATTCTGACTTCCTAGTTTGCTATGACATTTTGCAGCGAGAGTGGAATGAAAATAGTGTTACTGAGTGTTGCGTATGAACTTAGTGACTACTATATTCCAGATACTAAAAATCTGAAAAGTACACTAAATTAACTAATGGTCCGAAAGGTATACCGTAACTCCAAGTTGATTCTTATAAAAATTAAGGGAGAATGATTGAAAACTTATAGTAGCTTTTTTTATTTGTATTTTCACTTATTTGTGTCAAGCTAAGATACATTATTCACCCTATCGGTAATCCACTTGATCTAACACTAATAAAAACTGCAGATATTCAATTAAAAATATGTACTCATATGAGAATATTTCTGTCTCTTTTAATGTATTTGGCTTTCCTTTTAGTAGACATGTTCTATAGAAAGATGTAGAATATTTTACACCTCTAAAGTATCAATTAATATTTCCTTTTGTTCCTAAAGCTGGAGTCCCAAGTAAACCAGGCATTCCAAAATTATTAGAAGGGAGTAAAAATTCAATACAGTGGGAAAAAGCTGAAGATAATGGAAGCAGACTTATGTACTACATCCTCCAGATCAGGTATGTCTGTGGTTGCAAAAGTACTTTGTAAACTACAAACTGCTAAGGAGTAAGGTATTGTTATAAGGTATTATTAGGTCAAAATTACCAATAGTTAGGAAAGTGTATTTATAAATAAATATAAAAGATCTTTAGTTTAAGAACCATGAGTACATCATTACGTTCTTTGCTCAATTCCTAGAGGTCAGCCTTGGCACTCTTAGTCAGATCACATCATTCTTCTCAGAAAACTGCAATACTCATCAAAACTTTGTGGAGATTGTTCGATCATTCAATCACTGGCTCATGCAACTAATCCTTAACATCTACTGTGCTCAAGAAGCTGAGCTGACGTTTAATGTTAGATGATGGTATGGATACAATTTTCTGATGATAATTTGTTTTAGCAAGATGAATAGTGTCTAGTGAGAACTGGTAATAAGCTAGATATTTTTCAGAATGTAAAAATAGATCAAGGTCTGAAACAGTCTGAAGTGTGGAGGTCACCTAGGATTCTCTATACACAGTGTACAGTGTGATCCCAGTTACTGAAAATGTGCTGTTGATGAAAAGCATACAACTGATGAATGCATGCAACCTCAGTCTGGGCCAGTATGGTGAGCTCAGTGAACTGTACTGGCTCAGATGGACTGATTTCATGCCAACTCGAGGGGAGAATTCCAAATTCCAAGACACTCCCTTCACGGGACTATGAAGCCATCTTTTAAGAAGTTCCAAGGACAAAAGTCACTTCCATAATTATAGTCCTGGCAACTTGAGCTTTGTATCTATTTTTGCTTCATCTTGCTCTGGCATTCCTATAACCTTAATAAAATTTCCTGCTCATGTTAGAGAATTACCTCCTCATTTCTAATTGAAACCTCTAAGTATCCGTTGCTGTTCTTCGTGCAGAGTGAAATATAGTTGATTATCATTATTCATGGTAGCTATGTTCTATAAGCGGCCCTGGTGGCACAGTGGTTAAAAGCTACAGCTGCTAACCAAAAGGTAGTCACTGTGAACACTGAATTAGTGAATATGAACCATTGCTCCTGGGGGAAATACAGGGTTAGGTTCCTGTAAGCCTCTGGTCACAACATTTTCATCAACCTATCAATACATCACTTCGTTTTATGTTTTTCTCTTTAAAAACACCTTATTTAATGTTGATTCATTAACATTGAACTCATGCCCAACAGCACTCTAACTCATGCCTGAGTGGAACTTATTTAAAATATTTATTTTTTCTGTAAGGCATATAGCAGTCTCCTTGTGCTTAGGAACACTGGACAGCAACTTAGTGCTACACTTGGGAGCCAGTTTATACAGTGAAATGACCCAAAAAAAGCACAAAAATGTGAAAAAAGTAGCACCAAACAGATCTTGAGAAGGACTCATGTTTACAGTGTCAAGCCAAGGTCCCAGGTTGCCAACAAAAAGACACAAATTACACATACCAAAAAACAACCCATTGCTGTTGAGTCAATTCCAACTCATAGTGATCCTATAGGACAGAGTAGAACCGCCCCATAGAGTTTCCAAGGAGTGTCTGGTAGATTTGCACTGCTGAACTTTTGATTAGCAGCTGAGCTCTTAACCAGTGGAATAACAGTTTACTCACACAGAGAAGAGACAGAGCAAGGTCAACTTCAATTGTGGGCACATTGGTACCCCATGGCCAGTGAGTCACCTCTCACAGCAGGTGCAAGGTAGATGTTGTACGTGCACCCCTCTTGTGCCACAGTTGATAGATCCTGTCCTTCCCCACCAGGAACAGGTATAGAAGTGGGCTTGCTTGGCCAGGTGCCATAGGTACCCACACAAGAGCAGGACAGAGAAAGTTACTTTGTCCCCAGAACAGGGAGAGAGGCTTTCCTAATAAGGAGAAGAAACTGGGAGAAATAAACAGATCCAGTTCCCAGATTCCTTATCAGAGAATGTTCTGGTCCCACAGCCTCTGCTTTAGTAGCCTCGATGGGAGACATGGAGGCAGACCTTCCTCCCAACACACAGTATAAGGGCTGAAATAAGAAGCAAAACATTGCCTTACTCCACCTCAGATGAGAACGTGTGCATTGGACGACTCAAATTTTTTACTTTCTGTGCATACATGTGAATTTCTGCAAAAGCGCCATGAGTTTTGATTTTGATGTTACAAATAAATTTTAGCAAGTAGACAAATCCACAAATACAGAATCTGCTAATAATAAGCATCAGCTGTACTTTCTGACCTGTTCTGGTGGTCTGTGACTGTAATTGTGTTCACTGGCCTGGCCACACCAGGGTTCTTGCTAGACTTCCTTTAGGCTGCTGTTTTTCCCATAAGTAACACCTTAAGTGCAAAGCTCCATCTAAATACTTTGCATACTCATTGCCCCAGGGCTCTACTGTCATGATGTAGACTATGGGAGAACAGAATGAACTATTGTACCTTCAGTATCTCAAAATACCTGCTTTAGTCAGGACTCTGTTCTTAGTTTCCATGTACAGCAGTGGTAATTAGTGCAAACTGCACAAACTTGGGAGCTGGACAGACCGTGTTTAAACATAGGTCTATTCCTTTTTTTGAACTTAAGTTTTCTCATCCATAAAATGGAGAAGATGATACCTACCTTCTTAGGTTGTTGTGAAGACTCAATCAAGTGAAACAATATATGCAAAGCACCAGTACAGTGTGTTGTAAATAAAAAGATGATCAACCAGTATCAGAATTCTTCCCTCTCTTTTTCAATGTGGAATTACTCTGAGGTAGAGTGTAGGCCAATAAAAAAACAAAACTCTGAGCCTTGCAATCTGTGACATCAAGATAATTTTGGGAGCTGAAATAGTACATCTTCCCTACCAATTGTATATTCTGTATTTTATCCAGATGGGGTATAAGTAAACTACAGATGGCACGAGTGACTGAGAATTAAGAAAAATTAAAACTTCCCCGTTGAAAATTGTGGAATAATTATCTTGTGAATTTGGAATTTTGAAGAAAATGTACACATTCCAATAGTAGGAAAATGATCTTCAGCTTTCTCTTAGCCATTCATTATTCATTATTTTCCTGGTGGGCCAGTTTGGTTGGTCCCGTGCATTGCTGGGATGACTTTATAAGATCATGCTGTGTTCTGTAGCCAAATCATGTGAGTAGAATGAGATCAAGGGTAAAGTGTGCAACAGGAGAATTTCCAGAGTTCTGTTATTAACATGATATATGAGCATCTGAAATAATAAACATATTGCCTCGTGCATTTTTTATATTTACTATTTTACTGTTTGTTTTGCAGAAAGAGCACTTCAAAAGATTCACAGAACCATAATGTAAAGTGGAAGGTGGTATTTAATGGATCCTGCAATAGCATTTGCACATGGAAATCCAAAAACCTGAAAGGAACATTTCAATTCAGAGTAGTAGCTGCAAATAATCTGGGGTTTGGCAAATATAGTGGAATCAGTGAGAATATTATATTAGTTGGAGGTAGGTTATCATGTCTGTCTACACACTAATTTATTACACAAAAGTTCAGTGACAAAGATCTATGCATTCTTAACATTAGCAATAGATAGGGAGACCGTATAGCTTATCATCCACACTATTGAATTATTCAATTCATCTGATGTAATCTTCCTAAAACATCATATTATGTCATTTTTCTCTTCAATAATAATCAACTACTCTAAAATGCAACCCAACAAAACCCAACCCATTGCGACTGAGTCGATTCTGACTCATAGCAATGCTGTAGAACAGAGTAGAACTGCCCCATAGGGTTTCCAAGGCTGTAAATCTTTACTGAAGCAGACTGCAACATCTTTCTCCCTAAGAGCGGCTGGTGGGTTCAAACCACCAACCTTTCAGTTAGCAGCTGAATGTTTTAACCACTGTGCTACCAGGGCTCCTTACTCCAAAATGCCTTCCACATAAAGTCCATGTTTCTAAATATGCTTCCAAGGCTGTCCATGATCTGGTCTTCCTCTCTCCAGACTTATTATCCTGTCCCTGGTACTATCACCTTATAAACAACAGGACTAAAACTAGTTTTTTCTCTTTCACCAAATCTACGGATTGGTAGTTCAGTGGTAGAATTCTCACCTTCCATGCAGTAGACCCAGACCCGATCCTGGCCACTGCACCTCATGTGCAGCCACACCTGTCTGTCAGTGGAAGCTCTCGTTTTGCTATTATGCTGAACAGGTTTCAGCAGAGCCTCCAGATTAAACGGACTGAACAGTGTTTTGTTCCTGGGGTAGCTATGAGTCGGGGGCCAACTCAACAACAGCTAACAACAACCTCTTCCATGTGTATCCTATTTTAGTTTATGATGCATCATCTTTCTAATCACATAAGCTAGAAATTTCAGTGCCATATTTGATTTTTCCCTCTACCTGGTCGCCCAGTTCTGTTGATTTTACCATTTAAATTTCTCTCTGATGAACTCCTATCTCCCTATATCCACTCTGGCTTTCCTAACTTAAGCTATCATTTCTTGCCTGTGCTTTGGCTCTAGCCTCACTGCTGCCAGTTAATCTAGCTGAAGCACAAGCTGGATCACTTAACCCCCCTCCGATATATCTGAGATGGCTCTTCATTCACTGCCTTGAGACTTAAGTACAAACTTTTTGTGTGGCATTTAAGGCCTTCTATGATATGCCCCCACTTATGGTTCATCTTTTCCAATATTTATCCGTATGCTGCAGCCATGTAAGACTGGTAAAAAGCTTTTCTGAGACTAGGTCTTTGACTCTGTATTTTCCTCAGCCTAGAATGCAGGCCCCATCACCTAACAGGGGCTCCTTGGCTGGAATTTCCTTCCCTTCATTTTCTGACAATTGACGTTCTTCTCTTCCTTCACGGCCTAGCTTAAATAAACTCAGTGTGATGCTTAAATGATGCCCTTTAGGTGAAATGAATTATTGCATTTTATGCACACGCAGCCTATTATTTGATATTAAAATCACATCATTCTTAAATTTTATTAAAAAGGGCCAAACAGGCTTTGTGGGCTGCATATGATCTCTGTAGCTTCTTCTTTTTCGTTATAACACTTAAAAAATGTAAGAATCATTCTTATCTCATGAGAGGTGCAAAATCAGGCTGTGGCCAGATTTGGCCCACTGGGCTGCAGTTTGCCAAGCCCTGATCTACATATTTGTCTCTTCTACTTGACTGAAACTACTTAAAATAAGGTACTGTGTGTTCATGTTTATATCCTACAGTATAATACACAAGGAATTAAATGTGTATGAAGATGTTATAGAATAAATAATAATCCCCTGGTTGCTCAGTGGTTAAGAGCTAGTCTGCCAACCAAAAGGTCGGCAGTTTGAATCCACCAGCCACTCCCTGGAAACCCTATGGGGCAGTTCTACTCTGTCCTATAGGATCGCTGTGAGTTGGAATTAACTCGAAGGCAACAGGTTTGGGTTTTTTTTTTTTTTTAATATATAATGTATAATGACTGAGAGACATTTTTGTTCCAAATTCTTTAAAAAGATTATACATGTTTCCTCAATCACTTTAAAGTAGAAGATTGGATGAGTATATTCCAATGGTGTATTGGATCTGGAAAAATAACAGTAACAAAAGACTCTCTAAGGGGAAAAAAAAACCTGATTTCAATTTCCCGTGACATAAATACTCTCACTAGGGCTGATTTCAGTCTACCAACAGTTTCACAGCTGGTTTGTAAAAACCTAGTAGGAGCTAGCTCTAGCATACCATATATGTGTACACAAGGTAAAACTAGGACTATCTAGCTTTATTTTGAGAATTAACTTTTTCTAATTTATTTCATTAGATGCTTTTTGGCTACCAGAAACCAGCTTTATACTTGCTATTATAGTTGGAATATTTCTGATTCTTACAATCCCATTGTCCTTTGGTAAGTATAATAGATTTTTTAAAAAATAGGTAATAAACTGTTTACCTGATCATACTGATTGATTTATCTCCAAGTTTATTGCATCTCCCACATGAAACATGATTTGATTAAATAAGTAAAGTTCATAAAATTCACAACGTCACTGTGGGCTATATTTTCTCAACCAGCAACTTCTGTGAATTTTTTTCTGATCTAGAGATAACAACTTTATGAAAAATGTATCTGTATTTACACTTTATGGTATACTTTAGATAAAACTAGTTATAGGGACACCAACTTTTAGCTTTATTTAAAGAATATTTACTTCTGATTGGCTACATAACAAGTGTCTGTAGCTTATAGTTTGAGACACATAAAAGAAAAATAACCCTGGGTACAAAAAAACTGTAAAGGATTAATGGGAGGCCAGTGAAAACCCTTGGTCAGGACAGTTTTGGTCTCAAGACAGACAGCCTGGGTTTAGAATGAGCAAGGCCTCTTTGTAGAAGATCCATTTCTGGCTTTTAGGATCCACTCTTGCTTTTAGACGCCTGACCTACTTATTTCAAATCCCTGCTCATTTATAAATGACGAGGAAAGCAGAAGAATTGAGTTAGGTAGTTAGAAAGCTAGCTCTTTCTAACTGTTCATTTTATATCTAGTGGTAGTTCTAAAAGTTCTTATTTTTGTTTTCACAAGGTTTAGTTTAATGATGAGAAAATGCAGCGGCAACCATAAAAAGGAAGGTCAAATATTGGACCTACAGTGTGACCATATATCCTGGTTTATGCCTGTTGTTTTACCATACGTTTTACCATCAGTAGCTCTTTCTTTCAGTCCCCTAAATGTCCTGGTTTGGGGTGATGAGATATATGGTCATCCTATCTATTGCTAAAGGAGCCCTGGAGGTGCCATGGTTAAGTGCTCGGCTGCTAACTGAGAGGTGGTGGTTCGATCCTACCCACAGGCTCCCCAAGAGAAAGATCTGGCCATCTGCTTCTGTAAAGAAAAAACCAAGAAAGACCTGTGGGGCAGTTCTGCTCTGTCACTTGGGGTCGCTGTGAGTTGGAATTGACTTGATGGCACCCAACAACAACAGCATCTATTGCTGATGTTAAGAATCCCTGACACACTAAAACATTACAAGAAAGGCGTGACACTTGTCAGAAAAGACCGCTCAAGCGCATGTTCAGCAAGTTGTGGCTAATTTTGTTCACGAATAAAGGAAAGTTACAAAGAAAAGTTTATGGGAAAGTTATAAACATAAAGCTGAACTCTCTCAGGATAAAGAAAGCCAGTTTTTCACTAAGTGTACCAAATCTAATTTATTGTTCCCTCAAGCTAATTGTAGTCATAAGCTCTAAGAGAGCATGTTGAAACTTGATTTGAGATTTCTTTTCAAAGATTCCACAGAGATAATATGTGGAACTCCTTTAGCTAACTTGGAAAGCTAAAAATTTCAACTGACCCTGCCAGGATTTTAACCTGTGGTTCCAGAGAGTCTAAGTATCGCACAGCTGATGTTGATGCCACTAAGCCAGCCCCTCCAGAATTACGCATATGACTGCAGTATATTTGGCAGTTGGCATATAGGCTTGCCTGCTTGTCTGCTTTCCTACTGGGAAGGAGTATTACATGAAGAATCCTTCATCTGACCTTTGCTTGACTACTTGTTCATCACCATTGTTTGAACCCATAACTGTAGTGGATGAATATGAGATAATTTCAGACAACCTGTTGTGCTTCCAAGAGATCCTATGGATATCTGACTTTCTCAGGACTTAAAGGTCTTTATTCTGTTTGGAACTCATGGATTTTTGAGTATAGTTAAGCTAATTCGGTCCTTTGCTTTTAATAGCAGTGCATGCGGTTTTACTAGTAGAAGTGTGCAAGTGCATGAGACAAGACTGAGTTGTTAAAATAATAAAATGTAGCCATTATTTTTAAAATTTGTATTGTGCTGAGGGCTCTCAACAGTCATACTTATAAATATAAATTGAAATAAAGGTTTAAAAATAAGTATCAACAGCCTTCGCTTTGGTGAGTGGTCATATCTAATACAACATTAGCTTTATGCTGAGAGTAGAGGGCAATGTAAAGCAGTAAAATACAACTGCTGACCTCAGGGGGCTTGCCGTTTAAGGAGGGATGTGAGACATACCTGCGTGAACAGATACATAGCAAGACGTGTTTAATAATAAGAAAAGGCTATAGTACATGAAATGTACAAGACAGGGACATGGGAGAAGTGCCAACTGAGAGGCACATTTAGTCATATATAAGCACAGAAAGGAGAGATCAGCAGAGGCTGCAGTGGTCTTGGAAGGCATCACTGAGGATGCTGGGCTGAAGCTGGGCCTTCAAAAATGAAGAGTGGTTTAAGAACATTTCAGGTTTGAAAAATTACATTAACAAAGTTACTTGAGACTTTTTTCCCTTTGTGCCTCTCAGATAGAATTTCACTTGAATAAAACTCTAACCTGTTAAGTATAGAAGCTACAATGAAATAAAGTTCAAGTTTTAATGATCATTTCCTAAAGCATCCTTCCTATTTCCAATTTCTGATCCAATATTCTAGTATGGATGGGTGATCTTATTGTCATGACAGTATTTTAATCCTTAAAAAATAACATTTTTTATGATTATAAAAATAGTATCTGTTCACCGTAAAAAAAAAAAAAAGCCAGTAAAAATCACCCATGATCCCACAACTAGAGAGGACCACTGCTAACATTTGGTGGGTTTAATTTCAATGATTTTTCTATGTATTTGAGAATGTATATATGAATATGAACAATAATGGATATACATTGTTGTACCTGTATTTTTTTAAAACCTTGCCCTTATATTGAAAATATTCTCTCAGGTCTACTGGGGAGTATAACCAGGACATGACGGACTCAGAAATAAATTTGTTTCACTAAGAATTATTATGCAAATTTGTTTTGGTTTATTTTGACTCTAGTTTATGGGTGATTTTGAGAAATAAACTAATATTATGGTACTGCAACTTGTTTATAACAGCAATAAATATATATTAAACTCTACTGTAAGAAGTAAGATGAACAGTCATGTGGTATAAGTTATATGTTTTTATATGACTTTTTACCTAGATTTAATTAGTTTTTCAATGATGGCTATGTTTTTCAATCAAATTCTGTTATTTTACCAATAGTGTTCTTATATACAAACATTTAAAAACATTGTTTATATTTTCTAAAGGAAAGAACAAGCAGAGTTTTGTCTTATGAATTATGTCACTTTTTTTTCTTTATAGTCTGGCATACAAGATTAAAGAATCTAAAATCTTCCAAGGAAGGGCTGATAGTTCCCGACAACGAAGACAAAGAGTTGGCTGAGCTGCGAGGTGTGGCAGCTGGAGTAGGACTGGCTAATGCCTGCTATGCGATACAGTATGTAACCTGGGCCATCCTTACGCAGCACCTAGGCAGTGGGTGGGCAACTATACCAAGGGGGCCTATGCATCCTCTTCTCCCAGGACTGTCCTGGGTTATGCCCATTATGCTGGCATAATTATTAATAATATACCCTTCCACTCTCAAACATGAGCTGGTATGAATAACAAATTATATGGTTATTCTATCCTAAGGGAAACAAAGAAAAATCAGCTCTGTTTTCCAGTGCGTTATCATACAGCTCAAAACTCAATGAAGCAGAGAGGTGAATCCTAAACTGAAGACAGTGGTGTTAACATGGTTTGTCCAACTGGAGGCAGCATTTGAGAAAAGAGAAATTTCAAGGGTTTCCTTCATGTGCCATCAAGTCAATCTTACTTCTTTTTTAGAAGTTGCTCAGTAATCCGCCTTAAGATAGATGAGTTTTGAACTTCTGTTGTCATCATAATTAAAGAAATTATTTAAGTGTCTCTTTGGAAAAGATACTATATTATGGTCTATGCAAAATGGAATTTTATAGAGATAGGACTTGCTTCTAGAAATTTATAATTCAAGACAAAAACAAAGGTTTTGAAGTACACATAGCCATTCAGATATGACTTTTCCTTGAGAAAAAACTCAGTGTATCTGGCATTCAAGATCCTCTATTAAAAACTCAAAACATTTTTAATGGAGATACATTATTTTTCCTCATAGTATTCCAAGTGAGAAGCTTAACTTTCTGAAGTTCACCTGACAGAGATGGAGTTGATTTTTTGTGGTCATAATAAATCTTGTTTTACCTAAGAGATGAAGTGGGTGGAAAAGTTAAGGTGAAAGCTTGTTTAGCTCATTAACCCAGATGTATTTATTACTAAAAGACCCCTTGCCTTTGAGTTGGTTCCAACTCATAGAAACCCTATAGGACAGAGTAGAATTGCCCCATAGAGTTTCCAAGGAGTGGCTGGTGGATTTGAACTGTGACCTTTTGGTTAGCAGCCGAGTTCTTAAAATGGTACTGATTTACCTTAGCCTTTTACACAAATTAAAAACCTGAAAGAAATAATAACTAGTAGCTTTAACAAACAGCCCTGGTGGCACAGTGGTTAAGTGCTGGGCTGATAACTGAAAGGTCAGAGGTTTGGGACCTACCTCTTGCTCCCAGGGAGAAAGATGTGGTAGTCTGCTTCCATAAAGATTATATCCTTGGAAACCCTATGGGGCAGTTCTACTCTGTCTTATAGGGTCACTATGAGTCAGAATCAACTCTGTGGCAATGAGTAAACTTTAACAGAACAAAAAAAACTAAAAAACAAAAAACCAAACTCATTGTCGTCAAGTCAATTCCGACTCGTAGCGACCCCACAGAACAGAGTAGAACTGCCCTATAGGGTTTCCAAGGAGTACTTGGTGGATTTGAACTGCTGACCTTTTGGTTAGCAGCTGAACTCTTAACCACTATGCCACCAGGGTTTCCTTAACAGAACAAGCTACAGTAAAAATTGTGAGGCAAATGACACACACATACATGCTCCTATCAAAATGATTGTGCCTAGAAGTGAAGTGACATGTTCTGCCAGAGTAAAAGGTGGTGGAATAGGAAAGGAATATGAATGCCAATTCCATGTCACTATGTCATATAGAATGCACTGCATGTTGCAAATCTGTGAGATTCTCTCTTACACTCTTTCTCTCTCAAACAACAATACCAACACAAACTTGTAAGCCATATGTATTTTGGCAGAATGAAAATATTGTCATTTTACAGTACTCTTCCGACCCAAGATGAGATTGAAAGTCTTCCTACCTTTCCTCGGGAAAAACTGACTCTGCGTCTCTTGCTGGGAAGTGGAGCCTTTGGAGAAGTGTATGAAGGGACAGCAGTCGATATCTTAGGAGTTGGAAGTGGAGAAACCAAAGTGGCAGTGAAGGTAAGGTAGATGTTTTAACTTCCTGAAATGTCATGTCAGCATGTAGCAGCTGGATTTACATGGATACAACTATAATCAGAGATGAGTGATCCCAGTTGAAGAGAGAACTTGTAGAATATAGAAGCCTACCCATGGCTACAGAAATCATATATATATATATATTTTCTATTTTGTACGTAGGTTCTGTAATCCATAAGAAAATCTTCTTAAGGGTTTATGTTACCTCTAAGGCTACAAATAGCTAAGATCTGGCAGATAGTTTTTTCCCTTCAAACATACGATAAGAAAACTGGGGTTGTAAAACACATTCTCAAGGTGCTACACCAGGGTTCAGCAAACTTTTTCTTAAAGGGACAGATAGTAAATATTTTAAGATTGCTGGCAATATGATCTCTATCACAACTACTCAACTATGTCACTGTAGTGCAAAAACAGCCATAGACAATATGTAAATGAATGAGCGTGACTGTGTCACAATAAAACGTTATTTAAGGACACTGAAGTTTGAATTTCATATAACTTTCGTGTTTCATGAAATATTATTCTTCTTTTGATTTTTTTAGCCATTTAAAAAGCAAAAAACAATTCTCAGCTTACAGGTTGCACGAAAAAAGGTGACAGGCTGGGTTTGGCCCACAGGCCATAGTTTGCCAGCCCCTGACCTCCACGATTATTAAGCATGATATATTTAATATAGCTTTTAGGAAGCATGGGATATACTCTTACATTTTTGTAAAACTTTCTTTTGCTAGAGGGATGACGAACCTTTTATGTAATTGGATAATATCCAGATCACTTCTTGTTATGGATCTATCTCTTTTGAGGGTGTGCTATTCAGCTATAAATGTTGGCAATTCTCTCCACTTCCAAATGATATCATTTAAAAGTCCTTTAAACAATTAGGGAATTGGGTTACCTTAGATATCAGTCAAGAATCCTTTTGGCTATTCCAACCTCAACTGGCTTAAACAAGTGTTTATTTTTCTTACATAACAAGATGAATGTTGGTTTTGGTACAGTAGTGTGTCAGATCAGGGCCAATAACTCTAATTCTCTTCATTTTTTGCATGGTACTTGTTGTCTTATGGTCCCAAGATGGCTGCCAAAGCACCAGGTATCACATCTACATTCAGGACATGGAGAAGGGGGAAGATAATGCTAGATGTACCTGTTCAGTAAAGCAAAAGTGTTCCACAAGCCTCTGTTCCTTTCACCTGTTTTCCCCTTACATCTCATTGACCAGAACTGAGTCATATGGACATTCTTGGTTGCAAGGGAGGCTGGGAAATTGCAGACCAAGATTGTTGTGATTACAGAAAAGGACAAGACTTACTGGCCTGACAGAGACTGGAGAAGCCCTGAGAGTATGGCCCCCAGACACCCTTTTAGCTCAATAATGAAGGCTCTCCCAAGGTTCACCACTCAGCTAAAGGTTAGACAGCCTCATAAAACAAAATGAGACTAATGGGGCACAACAGTCCAGGGACAAGTACTAGAAGGCAGGAGGGGACAAGAAAGCTGGTAATAGGGAACCCGAGGTTGAGAGGGGACAGTGTTGACGTGTCTGGGGTTGTTAACCATTGTCATAAAACAATATGTACACTAACTGTTTAATGAGAAACTATTTGTTCTGTAAACCTTCATCTAAAGTACAATTAAAAAAAAAAAAGATTTTCGTGATTAATTTAGATCAATTGCCTGGGACTGAGTACCTTGCCACTAAGAAATAAATTGGAATATTACTAGCAAGAAAACAGGAGGAAACAGATACTAAGCAGAAAATTTTGAAAATTAAAAAATTGGTCTAAAACCCAAACTTGGTCTCTTTTTAAAATTTCTACCTTTTGGTGGGACTTTGTGTAAATATGAATTATCTAGCAAATATTCCTAAGTGAACAATAGCAATAATGTGGTTGTTGTTAGTTACCATTGAGTCATGACGACCCCATATGTGCTGAGTAGAACTGCTTCATAGGGTTTTCAAGGCTATGACCTTTCAGAAGCAGATTGCTAGGCCTGTCTTCCAAGGTGCCTCTGGGTGGGTTCGAACCACCAAGTTTTTGGCTAGTAGTTGAATGCTTAACCATTTTCACCACCCAGGGACTCCTATAACAATAACAGGAGATAAAATTTGAATGGGTTTACAGAGAAAAAGAACATGCATTATCTATCTCTAGCTTTCAGGGTGGATATTACAAAACAAAACAAAACGAAGATTGTCTATATTAACCCACTGAGCTCACAGAAATACCTGCTATACTGATTCCTGACTTGTTTTCATGTTGCACAGACTTTAAAGAAAGGCTCCACTGACCAGGAGAAGATTGAATTCCTGAAGGAGGCACATCTGATGAGGTATCGGGGTAATTCTGAAATAAGTTTCCCTTGGTATGGGTAGGAAGCTTTTAACATTCAAAATGACCAGATCATGCCCCAAACAAACAAAGCTAAAAAGCTTAAATGGAAACGTGTCTGTAATCAGAAGTATTCTATACTATTCTATAGTAACCAGTCTTCTGAGGCTGGGTGTAGACAGTCCTTAGGTAAAAGGTTTTCCTTTCTTTTATTTTCAGTAAGGAGTGTGCTTTGCAAGTAAATTCTGAAGATGTTCAGCTTTAAACATGCTGTGTTCTTCCAAATGTGTAGACAGAGTAGGGAGAGTTTTGTCAAGTACAATGATGTCAGTGAAAATATCTAGGGTCTGGAGGTTTCAGTCAGTTTATGACCATGAAAACTCTTCAAGGGCATCTTAAAGAGAAAGACCCAAAGCCGATGGGGTTCCGAACTATGGGTTCTAATTATTAGGTTGGGGCTTAATTGCCTTGATGTCTTGAGAACACAGTCTAGCCAAACCTATGTGTCTTAATTGCTTCTCAAAAAGGCAGAGAATGATATTTCATACTTATGAAGACCAAAAATGTAATGTTTTCAAATATCTTTTGAAGAAGGATGTTAATCAAAATTACCTTCTTTTCCAAAACATAAAATTTTTTAATACAAATGTTCTTTCTTCTAAAAATCAGCCTATTTTATCCATATGTATTGGCCACTAGGGGTTGCCATATTCCCTCCTTACGGCAAGCACACAGACCAGTTCAATGCTTGGAAAATGAGGCTTTCACTCATTAGAGGAAAATAGCCAGGAGTTTTGAAGTAAACTGTGAGTGAAGAATTGCTTTACTCCATAAAGGCTCCGGTAGGACTTTGATTGTTGTAATGTGACCCTGCCTGTCTCTTTACACTTTTTAGCAAGTTTAATCATCCAAACATTCTGAAGCAGCTTGGAGTTTGTCTGCTGAACGAACCTCAGTACATTATTCTGGAACTGATGGAAGGAGGAGACCTTCTCACATATTTACGGAAAGCACGGATGACAACGGTAAGAAATGGGCTCCCTGGTGTTGATTTTGTAAGGCAAATGCCCTATAATTTCCTAATAATTTTCTCCTTTGCCCTTCTAAAACCCAAAGTCTTTAAATTAAGTAGGCAGTTTCAGCTGATGGTAGAACCTTAAAAGACTTCTGTGGAAATTATTCTTAAATTTCTTTCGGGTTGGATTAGGACAATTAGAACCCTTGACTTATATTTCTGGCATTTTCTGGTTATTTGAACCTGTTTTGGGTGTTTACTGGAAAAATAGGTCCCTGGCTGCCACAATCACGTTCTTTTGGAGAACAGGGATCATGTGGATTTGAAAAAGGGACATATTTCTCTGTACTTAATCCATATGCTATCTGGCCCAAACTGATACTTCCAGCCCTGATCTCGTCACTGAATACTAGACTTGTACGTTCCCACTCAGTTGACATATTGAGTTGGATTTTAACAGGCATCTCAAACTTGGCTAAAACAGAAGCTTGGGTATATAACTGAACTTAGAGATGGGTGCCAATGTCTGGTCTAGAGATTTCTGAAGGTAAGAAAACTGCTAGAGCAGCCCATGCTAGTGGGGCTTGAAGGGGATTTGTGTGGAGTCTAGGGGTTTCTATTACTTCCCATGATAGAGCCAGAGGTTGGAAGAAGGACAGCAGCTTTTGGGCCACCCAGCGAACAGCTGGGCAAAGCAATGGGATTCCCAACCTAGAGAAGAGGTTGGGGCATGTGGCTCCATTTCTGAGGGGCTCCTCAGTGGCTGAAGTTGAACTTGACTCTAAGAAAACTACTTAAGTGGTGACCACCATCTCAGCAGAGGTCATAGCATCAGAGGGAAACAGTCTGAATGAGGACAACCACGTACACTTCCGCCACCTGCCATATATGCCAATTGTTGTGGGAGAGAGTGTGTCTCATGAATGGGGTGACCACCCACCCCTGGTTTGCCTGGGACAGTCCCAGCCTATGCTTGTCATTCCTTTTACTCTCTAAAGTGACCAGGTTTGGACAATAAATTACGAATGGTCACCCTACAACAACAACACACAAGGTTCTCAGAGTTTGAAAGGAGGAGGATGAGGAAATTCCAAAAGAAAAGGGGTTGGCCTGGGAGATATTTCAAGGCCAGATTTTGCCACATCTCTGCTCCAAGCAGCCAGGATCACTGCTGTAGTTGGGTGAGGGAAAGAGTTTGGTGATTTCTGTTTTAAAAATAATTAAGACTGAGTCTTATCAAAGGAAAATGGGACTGTACTAATAACAAGCGACAGAAATATTATAGAAACTGGCCAATAAGTCATAGAGGGGGAGGCTCAATTCTGACAGGGAGAGGAGGGTTCAACATAGGACAGTTGAAGGAAATTATCTGAAAAAAAATGCAGCCATTTCCAGGTTCTCTCCCCATGCGATGAACTCAATAAAGTTCTTATACACCTCACAGGGCTCTCTGCCCACACTCATCTGTTGCAGCTCACACATATTTTTTTGTCCTACAGTGGCTTGGAATCTCTAGGAAGAGAGATGGGGGAAGATGGACGTAGATTTCTCTGACATTCATGGATTTCTGCCTACCCTTTCTTGTAGGGTCGCCCTTTGCCTGCCCTTTCTTTCTCGCTCTTTCTTTCTTTCTGTCTCTCTTTGTTTCTGTCTCTCTTTCTTTCCTTCCTTCCCTTCCTCCTTCTTTCTCTTCTTTCCCTCCCTCCCTCCTTCCTTCCTTCTTTTCTCATAGACTTTATTTTTTAGAGCAGTTTTAGATTTACAGAAAAACCGTGCAGAAAGTATAGAGAGTTATATAGCACCCTCGCGCACTGTTTCTTCTATTAACATCTTGTTTTCCTGTGTCTTTGCCCTTTCTTTTTTTCTTCCTTTTCCTTCCTTGTTGAGTATCTTTTTCTGGCTCACCCATTCCTGCTCCTAGACTTCCTTGTTGGATTGAATACATAAGGATTGAATGCAATCCTCTCTCCACTTTTAGGCCTGCAGTTTCTTCGTTCATAAAATGGGATATTGAATCAAAAACTTTCTATGGCTACTTTTAGCTTTGACATTCTAAGACTATATTAAGACAGAAAAAAGTAAAACTATCAAAATAATACAGCTACATAGTAGTGAATATACTGCCTTCCAGATATAATTCAATTCACAAATCTTTGCTGGATATTTACTGTATGACAGTAATGTAGGTACTGCAAGGAACAGAAGATTTCAAGGAACTTACCAGATGATAGAAAATAATCATATACAGATTAGTAGTTTAAGAGAACATGGGGCCCAACACAGTTGAGTAGAGAACATACTGCTGAAGCAAGAAGAGGGAGAGATTATTTCTAACTGAGGAGACCTGGGAAGGCTTCATGGAAGAGGTGTTCTGCTTGGGTCATATCAAGGTGGTATATAGAGGAGTAGCTAAAATGACACTTTCCCACTGAATTGTAGAGGTGTTGACTAGGAATAAACCCAGATAAAAGTTTAATATGTCTGCAGGGTTTGGAAAGAGATGACAGATGATATAGCAGGGCAGCATGTGAAATCCAGGAGGCCCAACACAGGGTGATAGGGTGCCCCAAGAGGTGGACAGAGCATTGCCCCAGGGGATATCAGGAGAAGATGATAAAGATCTAAGCATGCAAGCAGGCTGGCAACGTTATGAAAACCTATCAGTAGGGAACAGGGTGCTGGCCACCAGACAGAAGTTCAGGAGTAGGGTTCTAGGCCAAGAGAATGTCTTCATGAGTAGAGTAGGCTTTCCCAAGAGCAAAACAGGGTCCCATTCACACAGGAGCCAGTGAACCAGTCAGGATACTCAGGAGGTACTCAGACACAGGCCACGAGACAGCTGTCTAGTGGACCTGAACAGGGATGATAAGGGATTGAGTTTCAGGAGTAAGGTTCGAGCCTAGTTATCAGAACTGCATGCGGTTGAACAGAACCAGTGGCAATGTTGACTCCCAGAATGTTAGGATTATTTCTGTTTTGAGAAAGGAGATAAGATTGCCAAGGAGGCAGGGTGGACAGCACTTAATATCATCCGTGTATGAGGAATTAACTCGCTTGGAAGTTGGGAACCATTTGAGATGCTTAGTGAAGAATAAGGAGGGCATTCCAGGAAAAAAAAATGATAGTAGAAAAAAAGGAGAGAAGTTGAGAAATGCAGAACAGGTGTGAAGAACAGCAGGTAGTCCCGTGTGACTGAAGCAAGATTGTGAGAGGAGAAACAATGGGATATAAATGGACATAAAGAGAGGCTGGTCCAGCCTGGAGGTGCCTTGGAGACTGTGCTCTGGGATTTGTAATGAATGGGCTTAACAGGCAGTGTGCATCAACGAAGTGAGTTAATTAAAGCTGTGTTCTAGGAAGAATAAGTTGGAAATACAGTGTAGAAGGCTGGGGAAAGGGGGAGTTTTTGGATGGTTCAAATTAGGGATGAGAAAGTCCATAACCGGGGTAATTGCAGGTAAATAGAAAGGAGCAGACACTATACGAATATTGTCCTGGGGCAGGAAATTTGAATTTTTTCCACATGGTACTAATAACAACTCCACCTGGCTTTTTTCTCCTAGAAATCATTGTGACCAGTACAGGATGAACTGTATATTCGTGCTGGCTCTCTTAGATGAAAAAAGTAATCTCTGACCTTGAAATAGAGTATTGCTAACCATTTATTAGGGGCTCATATAAGGAACAAGTCATTGTCATGACTGACATTGGACCAATAACTCAACTAGCTAGGTAGTGATTAAGTTATCATCATTACTACTTATGAGAACAGCTACTGTTTTTTAAGTTCCTGTTAAGCACCAGCTATGTTACACACATTAACCTGCAAGGTCAGTAACGTGATTCCTGTTTAACATATGATAAAGTCGTTCAGTGAATTAAGCAACGGGAGAAAGATCACACAACTAATAAGTAGCAGAACTAGGGTGTCTTACCTGACACCCTGAGATCTTTCCAATAAAGATCCCATACTGCCTCTCTGCCTCTGTTCACTAAATATAGTCTGTCATTTATTTATCTACACCTGGGTAAAAAAAATATACGTTTAGTTCTTTTCCTCTTTGTTTGAGCTCTTGTAGCCATAAATTAAAAATGTCTTTAAAACATCAAATATATATGCATATATATATATAATAGTTGATACTGATTGATGGGATATATATGTATATATGTGTGTGTGTTTATGTGTATATATAGTGCAAACTGGAAAAGTGCCTGTAATTTTTCCTTCATTTCTTACAGTTTCATGGTCCTTTACTCACCTTGGTTGACCTTGTAGACCTATGTGTAGATATTTCAAAAGGTTGTGTCTACCTGGAGCAGATGCACTTCATTCACAGGTACGGTGACATTCTGGATACAAGGTTATTGCGGATATTGACACAATAATCACCTGTAGTTTGGGTAAAACACATAAGAATAATTAAACATTTTAATTCCTTCAAAATAAGATAACATCTGTAAAAAGTCTCTTCTCAACAGACATACTAGTGTTGCTTATCTGATCTCTGGAACTTTATTAGTATTATTATTAAATACAGTTTCTGCCATAGGGATCTGGCAGCTCGGAATTGCCTTGTCTCTGTGAAAGACTATACAAGTCCGTCACGGATAGTGAAGATTGGGGACTTCGGACTCGCGAGGGACATCTATAAAAATGATTACTATAGAAAGAGAGGAGAAGGCCTGCTGCCTGTTCGCTGGATGGCTCCAGAAAGTTTGATGGATGGAATCTTCACTACTCAATCTGATGTATGGTAAGCTTCCCAGGACTCAGAGAAATGCAGGCAGATCATAAAATGTCAGAGCTAGAAGGGATCACAAAAGGTCATCTAACCCTTGTTTTTACATGAGAAAACAGAAGACCAGAGTGCTTAAGTGATTTATCTTAAGTTAAAGTGAGAGCTGGGGGCCAGGGTGGAATATTCCTGAGTTTCAGCAGCTTAAAGCACCTCCCATTAGTTTTAATCCTCTGCCTTACTAGTGTATATGAAATGGATACATTTACTCCAAGTATTTTATTACACTCTATATATGTAAAATCATATGACTGGTAGAAATTGATACTTAATGAATTAATGTCCAAGTGTGTGTCCAAATGCCTACTATTTAGGGATATTTGGTCATTAATTTGTAAGTAGACTTTAAATCATGGATATCAAAAAGATTAGGACATTGGGGAGGTTTGAACATCTCTATTATTTGAATAGCCCCCTCACTTATGCTTCTTGACCCCAAACTTTTGATTAGAATTGCTCAAAATGTAGAGTTGATTTGGTCAGTAGCTTTTAAGTTGGATTGGTTCTAGGAAATGTTGGTGATGAGATAAAATTGGTCCTCAGTGCCACCAGTTTTTATTCATGCTTTCTTTCTCCACGTTTGCTTCCACTTTATCTCTTTCAAACTTAGAAGAAGAAAAAAAAAAAAAAGGTAAAATGCTCTCATGCTTACCCTTAGCTAGGCGTGTCTGCCTATTAATGGAGGTCCGCCAGTGCAGCTTGAGCCAGAGGGCAAGAACAGAGGTGTGTGTGTGAGTGTGTGCGTGTGTGCGTGTGTGTGTACTCCCTCTGTGCCTTCCTATCGTCTCTGAAGTTACACCAAGTAGGCAGTTGCCCGTTTTAATTTTTCTTGCATTTAACCCGATTTTAAGCCTCCCGTTTGCCTTTTGTGGGTCTACTAATGCCAGTTATCAAGTAGAACCTGGTAGCTCCAGGAATAATTGTGCTGATGAAACTACTGTAAACCTGCTTTTGTAATAAGTGTAATTAAAACAAACCCTTAATATCCTTAGGTCTTTCGGAATTTTGATTTGGGAAATTTTAACGCTTGGTCATCAGCCTTATCCAGCTCACTCCAACCTTGATGTTTTAAACTACGTGCAGACAGGAGGGAGACTGGAGTCACCAAGAAATTGTCCTGATGATCTGTAAGTTAATTATGTTAATATAAGCACCTCAAAACCAAACATGTGCACATGCTATCTTATACCTCATGTATTGTATTTTAAAATATATAAAATGTAATTTATATACTTGTATATCCCATATATTTGTATATTATATAAAATATAAATTGTGGCATGATGATTTCTTTCTATCTGTATATACACATGATATTTCACTCAGAAACAAAATTTAGAAGAGTACAATATATTTATACTTCTGGTTAAGTCAATTCTAATAAATAAATAAAAGCTGTGTGTGCGTGTGTGTGTGTGTGTATGTGTGCGCACGCAGGTGTGTGTACGTATTCATTTTATTTTGAGATATTTCATTGGCTAATATCTTAACTGAAAAGATTTTATTAAATAGGAACCTGTTTTTTAGAAGTTGGATTACTTTTGCTGTTATAGTTGATATTGATTGACAGGATACAGGATACAGTACTATTAAAAATTTTATAGGTTATGACCAATTTGTGAACTTAACACTAAGTAACTTAGTACTGGTGACTCTATCAAACTGATCGTGGCCAGTGGCCATTTTGAGTTCTAATAAATGTGTGATCCTCAGAAGAGTGGGTGAATTTGGTCTAATTACAAAAGAAAAATCAAGCCATCATGCTGAGTACTAATCTGACTCCTTGTGAACAAACTCAGCAGAAATATCAAGTCTTGGAACCTTTCCTAAGAGATGCTTAATTTAAGACGATTCCAAAAAAATAAATAATCGAAAAGGATAAACTCCTATACTATATGCCTGATACCATGCTAAGGTATTAATTACAGAGGTGTTTAAGCCAGGGCCACAGATCTTCAGCATTTGAGAATGTATTTTTAAAGAAAAGAAACACGTGTGGAACAGTTGGAGAACAAGCCAATATGTAATAAAGTGCTAAAGTGTGTGGTACAGGCAAGTGCAAAAGGAATTAGCAGTATGCGGATGTACACCATGGTTGCGCTGCCTTGACTATGCGGTGTTATTTAGAGGATCATTCACACTTGAGCCAAAAGATGATTAAGAACTGGGCACCTTGGTTGGAAGATCTACTGGGGAATGGTTTTGTATTATTTAAATCTTCCAGCTAGAAGAAGCTCTGAATCACTACTTGTTTCTGATTTAGCTTTTACAGTCCCTAGGGTATTTACAAGGAGATCAGATATACACAGACGAACAAGTTAATGACAGTGTCTAAAAAATGATTCATGATCTTTTTGGGGGAGACAGAAAAACATTCTGCAAATTAGGAATAAAAAAATTATTCAAAATTGGAAAACCTTTGATCTAGGGTTTGAGAAAAAATAAAAACAACACAGTTAAATATGAAATAAAATTATATTAAATAGGAAACTAATCACTGTTTTGTATTCCTTACACAGTTGTCAAATGCTCAGAAATTTCCCCCCAGAATTTTAATTCCAGAGAATTTTTATTGTTCTGTTAGAATTTCATCTGGCATTTTTTCCCCTCTATGGTATAATGTGGAAACCCTGGTGGCATAGTGGTTAAGTGCTCTGGCTGGTAACCAAAAGGTCAGCAGTTCGAATCTACCACATCTCCTTGGGCACTCTGTGGGACAGTTCTACTCTGTCTTACAGGGTCGCAATGAGTCGGAATTGACTTGACAGCAACGGGTTTGTTTTTTTTTTAATGGGATAATGTGCCTTATCAAATTTATGCAATTTTTTTGGGTAGGCACCAAGAATCAATCATTGAATTACACATTTTGACGAATATGGACCATGTGTTCATTTGTTTTATTTGGGGTAGGAGGATGGAGGTAACTAATAAATTGCTGTATTGTGGAGCAGAAAAATGTATGTTGAACTTTGTCCTATCCAAAGGTACCCAAAAATGCCACTAGGAGGAGGAGGAAGGAATACTTGAAAAGTGCTAGAAAAGTATCCCTGATTATAAGCTGAAAAAGATAATATTCTATGTAATTTAATCTTGAATAATTCATAAACTGAATAATTACTCGTTTTTATAAAAATACAGTTTTCTGTGAAAACAAAATTTTCTACTGGTAGTTTTAAAGTTTATTTGAATATCATTCATAAAAAGTAAAACATTTCTCCAGGCCTCCAAGTAGTGCCTGACTCTGCAGAGCCCCAGGAAGGGTTAAGTTCCATTGCCAACCAGGAAAACAAACTGTGCTAGGAAATGGAGCTCTAAGCGCTGCCATTCAATCTGCCACGGCCTTAAGTTGTCATGATAAAGATTAACTACTCTCCTTGGAGAACAGAGGGAACTGAATTTTATTTGGAGCAGTTCTCTGAGATCACAGGCCCAGCTTAGAGGATTGAAGGTCTGCACTGAGCCATGCTGCGCCTTTTATTCACTGCTTAAATACCCAGCACCTGGATGCACTCTGGGTCAGGTGCGTCCATAGGTGGCTGTGCTGTGCTCAGGTATTAATGGAATGTGGGGCTCAGAGCATTCCTGCCCTTCTCTCCATAGCCTGGGATGCAGGGTGGAAAGGCCAGTCATCAGCTCTCTCTTTAGCCTTTCAGTTTGCATAACAACCACACTACTTCCAAGAAGAAACAGGATCAAAGGGCAATCTACTTCACTTGAGGGGTTTTGGGGGTTCTCTGACAGACGTATCAGAGAAGCAACTGGAGTTGCTGCAGAGTCCTTCAAATGTAGGAGGCAACAAGGGGAGAGGACATGCCGGCTACCATCTTGTTTTTACCTTTAAAAAATATGTACACCTAGATGCTAATCGGATCTCTCCTGGAATGAATATAATGAATAAGGGTGTCTTTGAAATCTGTATTTTATGTGCTTTATTTAAGTTCCTAAAGAAACTCATCCCCTTGAACCTGAAAGATGTTAGGAAGTTTTCGTCTGTTAAACTTCAATTGCTTTATGAACCCAAGGACTTTCATACTCAGAGAGGCTAATACTGGGCATGGATAACGAGTCCTGTGCTACTTCACAAATCAAAAAAATTGAGGCCAAGAGGAGTAAAAGACTGGCGTGGTGCCTGGAGAAATTTGAACCTGAACACTTAGTCAAATGAGATATTTCAAGTATGAACAGTGAGGTTTTTTTTTTTTTTTAAGACCTAGGACAACTAGCCCAAGTAAATTTTAACAAATATGAAGGAGCTATACCTTTACTTAGAGTAACATACTGGAATATTTATAGCTATAACTTAGTGCAAGTATGTAATACATGGAAAGGAATTGCGACAAGTGAACATTTGTAAGGGAAGAGTCCCTATGTCAAAGCTATAGTTGTTATGAATTTACCTGAAATATATAAGAAATGCATATTTTAGGATTATTAAATTCTTAAAAGCCTCTTCATTTTATTCCATTGCCAGTTTATTGCTTTTCACAAGTACAGGTTTTAGTCTTTACTTTTAAATGACTATTGCTTTATATAGCTCCTCCTGTCTTGTTGGGTGCTATCAAGTCGGTTTAGACTTATAGTGACCCCATGTGACGGAGTAAAATTGCCAGATAGGGTTTTCTTGGCTGTAATCTTTATGCAAGTAGATTGTGAGGTCTTTCTCCCAAAGAGCAAAGAGCTGCTACATGGGTTCAAACCACCAACGTTTAAGTTAGCAGCCAACTGTTTAACCATTGCGCCACCAGGGCTCCTTCTTCTTCTCTCAGTCTATGGCAACTCAATCCTCATTCATCTCTGGATGGTGGCGTAAAATGTTTTTATATAGTAATAAGTCATATATTTTTGCTGTCAGAAAGTGAAGAATAATGATTGGATTAAACGCAAATTAAAGCCTCCATAGATTATAAAAATTAGAAATATCTGATGAAATGAATTATATAAATTAATCAAGAGGCTGAACTTTTGGAGGGTAATGCGAGTGGGTGAGAAACAAGGTGACTTATTAGCAACTGTAAGAATGGTTTATCTCTCTTCTCTCCCTCCGCCTTCGTTTTTTTTTTCTTCCCTCCTCTCCCTGCTAATTCTCTTCCTTCTTTTTTTTTCTTCTTTCTTTCTTTTTCAATAATCTCCATTAAGCATCTTGAGTCCTTTGTAGAATAGGGCAAGTTATAAATAAAATAAGTAAAAACTTCATAATTGAAATGTGACAATCTTGACAAATTTTACGATTCCTTGGCCATATCTTTGAGTCACCACTATTTTTAGAAGTGATATTCTTCCTGTTGAGAATTATAATACTTTACTTTCTCCTCCCTTCCTCAACTCTTAGGGCAACCCTTAGGGCTTGGTTTCCTCTTATCTAAAATGGGAATAATGATACTGTTCCATAGGACTTCATTCTGTCAGGGTGAGATAATGCATATAAAATTCTTAGCACATTGTCTGACACACAATAAGTACTAAATGATTATTTGCCAATGTATTGTCATTATTACATTTCTAAGAAACATTATGCCATCAGTTCCGAATGTTTGATGGTAAAACACTTGTGCTTTAAGAATTGTAGATTTGATGCAACATAAAGATACAAACAATCTCACAACCACAAAATGCTTATTGATTGTGAATCGATTAATTGATTACTGTATTTTTAGGCAAATAACTCGTGCCTTCTATGTTTATTTGCCAACAGCACTCTTCTCACCCCTGTGTATTTTTTATAAGCGCACTATGCTAATTTTTTTTTACAGCAACATCTAAAAAAAATTGGCATAGCGGCACTTATGAAAATACCTCAGGGGGGAGGGTGTGGTTGGCAAACAAACGAAGGCATGCATTATTTGCATAAAAATATGGTAATCATTCATTTTGTGCCTACCAAGTCCTAAGTTTTTTGCTAGGTACTGTGGATAGAAGAAAGAATAAGAGTTTCTTCCCAACCTTAAGCAACTCAAAGTCTAATGAAGGAGACAAAAATGTAGACAAATAATTTTAGTACAATAACATGATTTCTAGACAAGAGCTATGACCCCTAGATCATGAGATCACAGATGAGAGAGGAAAGCTGCACAGACAAGAAGGCATTTGAGCATGTTCATAAATGAGTCAAGGTTCATGAGGCAGGCCAGGGGAAACATCTCCAGGTAGTGGAAGACGTATGCCCGTAAAAGATCTTGGGCACAGGTTATGGTTCAGTGTGCCCCGAGATTAGAGTTTGTGGTGCAGGTTTGCAGAGAGGCACCTTCTATCTCCTTTGCTATTAACGTAGTCCAAACTACCATTATCTCTCACCTAGACTTCTTTAAGAGCTTCCTTTCTTCCAACTTGCCCCTCTACAATCCATTCCCCACAAAAACGCTGGAATAATCCTTTTAGAATGTGAGGATCAAGCCAGATCCCATACTTAAAAGTCTTCAGCAACTTTCCATTTTGTTGTCATAAGATCCAACTCCTTGAGTGGTCTATGAGACCAGCATGACCTCGTCTTCTTCCACTGATCTCATCTCTTATACTCTCCCTGTCAATGACGGCTCTTCAGTTACACTGGCTTTCCTTCAAATTCTACAATGTGCCAAGCTCTTTCCAAATTTAGGACTTTACACATGCTTTTCCCTCTTCTAGTACATTCCCTGACTCTCATCCTCACGCTATTCCCATGACTTGCATCTTATTTTCCTACAAAGTTCTTTGGTTTAAATATCACCTCCACTGAGAGACCTTTTGTGAGTAACTGACCAAATTTGTAATTGTTCACTTTTAGAACTTACCATAATTTGTAACTGTATATTTATCTGTTGATGTAGTAGTCTAATAATTTAAAACACTTCCCAATTTATGTTTCTTTATCAGTTTCTCTCTCACTGCCCCTAATTTGTCTTATAGCTCCAGAAAGTCAAAAAAGAGATCAGATATTTGGTCTTTTTAGTATGTCAACAGACTTGAAAACCAGGCTTGGAGGAGAGAGGTTATCTGAAATCATTTAGCTCCTTGTAGTATATCAAGTGCTTGGTTTGGCTGATTAGACTATACAATTTTACTTAAGCCTAGTCTAATCAAAAAGAGGAAGTGAGTTAGAAACCCCACTCCTTCTAAGCTCTGGAGAAGTATAGGAAGAAGAGAACTGACCAGTAGAGGAAGGACAGTGAAGCTATTGAACATCTAGGTCCTGAAACTTCCTCTTCAGGATTCAGTTAGATTAGATGTGAACAACACCAAAGGCATGGAGCAATTACCCTAGTTTGAGAGGATGGCAAGGAGACCCCCTACTCTGACATGAGAAGACCCAACATCATTAAGAAGGTAAAATGGCATGTCCAAACAGAGTGAAGGTCTATATTGCATTCCAAGCCCTTTTTTTTTTTCCCATATGGTGTGACCATTTTGTTGAGAGCTAACAGTTCTGCCAGGGAGTCCTCTAAGGCCATGCAACAGAAACAGGAATGGATTTCCTAGGCCTTATCAGTCATTACAGGACATGACAGCATCTCAAAGAAGCCTCCAGCTAGAGGGAGACAAGGGAGACCCAGTTCAATGGAATGGGGCAAAAAGAACAGATAAGAGATCTTGGGCTGCAGAAATTAGCAGCTGATGCCTGCAGGATGGACAAGACCAATCACTCAACTGAATTCCAGATCAGCCACTCTGAGAGTAGTGGAGGTCTGAAGGGCACAGTGAGGTTCAGTGGATCCTTCACCATGCCCCTGTAAGTCACATAAACCTCTCACCCAGCATACATCCTGATGCCATCTTGGAGAGGAGGGTGAAGGTATGTGGATGACCTGAAAATAAGAGAAACTCAGTATTCATCCACGAAGACTGGGCATTACCTAAAAAACTGTTGGATTTGACTAGGTTATAAACTGCCTTGTACTAAATGAAGTTTATTTTCTTCTGCTGGGTGGGGGCTCTGAGAAAGACCTAATTAGTTATAGATAATATAAAAAAGTTACACTTTTTTCCTGCTCATGAGTACTAGTATGATAAGTGTTGTGATCCTTACATCTGACTATCTTGTCTATATCTCCCTTTACAAAGGGAGGTCTGTGAGGATAAGGGACACACTGCCATATCCCTAGTTCTTGACACACTGCCTAGTATATAATGTGTCCGATAAACCTTTGCTGAATGAATGAATGGATGAACGAATGAACATTGGTTAAGAGTGCTGCACAGACATTTCTTAGGCAACCATTAAGGAAAAGATAATATTTAATCAACCAGCTATTAATGTCTGGGGTACTGAATCTCTTAACTAACCTGACAGTGTAATGAAGAGATAAAAGCATTAGAATCTAACCTAGTTTCTACTCCTGGTTTTGCCCCTAACTATCTCTGTGACTTGGAGTGAATTCTTAGATTTATTTTAGATATCAATGTATAGTATATACCTGTAAAGTGCTTTTTATCTCAGCTTATCCAATACTTTTTGTAACTGTTGAATATACATTTTTTCGACCATCTATTTATCCACCTATTTATTTGGATTAATAAAAACTGTTGAAATAATGTCAGCTTTTCAAAATAAAGTTATTATTGAAATAAAGGCAATTATATTGCAAACCACTATTATATAAGAAACCAAAGCTTTTGTTCTGGTTCATTTATGCTAATTACAGAAAACTTGCAATAACTCAAATTCTCCCCCTTCTAAAATGACTTTACCTGAGTTATAATCAGTAATGACTGCCTAATAATATCGAATTATCATTTTTTTTCCCATCGTTACCCACATATCCAGGTGGGATTTAATGACCCAGTGCTGGGCTCAAGAACCTGAACAAAGGCCTACTTTTCATAAAATTCAAGACCAGCTTCAGTTATTCAAGAATTTCTCCTTAAATAATATTTCCCAATGCCGTGATGAAGCAAACACCAGTGGAGTCATAAATGAAGGCTTTGAAGGTAAATTTGACTCTTCTTCAGAATTTTCTACTTTTCTCTCCAGGGTGAACTGAACAAGGTTAAAATGGGATGTGCACAAAAGGCATTTTAGGAGTAAAAAGAATCATGTACTGTTAACATTGTTAATTGTCATCACAAGTGTTTATTACATTCCTCTTTGAAAATTATTCTGTACCTAGCACTAAATTAAAAAAAAAAAAAAAAAGGTAGTGATACAGTCCTTGGATTTATAATCTAAGATAGACAGGGGGAGAATTAACATGTTAGACTCTATTTTCATGAAGTCTGTCCTCCTTCTACCCTGATCCCCCATACCTATGTGAACCTCAGGTGTAGAGATGAGTTAGTTATATGCTCTTAGTTTATGATACATTATCATCATTGGTCTATGCAGGGCTTCTCTTTCATTCTGTTTGTTTAGTTCCTTTATCCCCACATTCCTCTCCTATTTTACTTCCTTCCTGTCTCCCACAGGCAACAATTCTAATGTCTTTAATGTGTATCTTTTTATTTGTATATTTTCGGCAAAATGTGTATTGTTTTATAAGCATGTATGCTAATGTGTTATGTAATTTTTTCGTTCTTTTTTCATTAAGCACTAGGTTTTTAAGATTCATTCATGTTTCTATGAATATATCTAATTCATTGCTTCTAACTGCTGAGTAATTTTGCTGATTGTAGTGTATCACACCTTGCTAAAGTCTAGTCTGATTCCGTGACTTCAGTATATTGGTAACTAAGACAGTAATTTCTGGAATCATTCTACTATGAGGGATAGACTAAGCCTTTTAGTTCAGGGAAGGGTACAAAACAGAGTTAAAAGACAGTGATCACCTAATTCACTTCCAAAATCAGATTTACCAAATGTTTGCCTAATTGTCTGCAGAAAATGACTTTTAAAATGATCTTCTCCAGCTTCTCTAGAATTCCTTCCCATTATTAATACCTTGTGGAGCCTTTTGTTTGACTATTCAGATGCAGAATTCTTGCTTAGAAATGAACCTGGAAAGATGGATCATGACTTAGAATTTCTTAGAATTAGGCCTCTTGGTCTTTGCAGTGATTGACTGTAAGGTGGCTGAGTGCTGTCATGGAGTCCTCTCTCTATTGTAGCCCACGGTGAGACCTTTACCCTGAGTGCTGCATTTGACTAACAGCAGGGAAAAAAGAAGCCCAGGGACGAATGTTTACTTGTCTTGTTTGCTGTGTTTCCGACTGCACATTTTGGCTAACTTTGGGTCCATGACGTGAATGGACATAAGACTCTGAGCATGTGACTCCTTTCACATAAAACAGTACAGTGACAGATTGGAAAGGGCTGTGCTTGCCTCGGGCATGCATCATAACCCTCAGCAGAGTACGCTTCAGTAATAGTCTCACACTGGCTCCACTTACCTTCTTAACACTTAACTGAGCTGGTTCTAAGAGTGCCAGTGACTGAGCACCTTGGAATTATAAGTGCTACAGCAACGCCATCCTTTTAGAGGGTTCTATACAGTATCCTTGGAGTCCCTGGGTGATACAAATGGTTAACATGCTTGGCTGCTAACCAAAATATTGGAGGTTGGAGTCCACCCAGAGTCACCTCAGAAGAAAGGCCTGGCTATTTCTGAAAAAACTATCAGCCATTGAAAACCCTATGGAGCACAGTTTTACTCTGACACAAATGGGGTCACCATAAGTTGGAATTGACTCAATGGCAGCTGGTAGGTGGACACAATATACTTGCTTGTCTGAAGATGACACAAAAGAAAAAACATACACTTAAGCCATTTTAGTTACTATTAAGTCTTCATTTTCTAAACATTTACTTTATGTATTTCTCTGGAGGAAATATTGAAAAATTTCATTATTTCAACAAATATTTATTGACTTTTGGGTGAGGCATGGTGTTAGGCACCTGAATTGAATGTATCCCATTTGGCTGCTCTAGAGAAAAAGAAGAGGTAAGAATATTTCTTTCCCTTAAGAAACTAGAGTCAGGTTCTTTAATTTTGTATGTAAAGTTTAGAAGCGAGCTTTGTTTTTGCTGGTGATTTTGAAAGTTGTCCTTGGACAGTATCTGTACTCATAGGAAAAACTAATGTCACCAGTCCACTATTGAATAATACCGTCTTGCTCAAGCCATTTGAATCTCCTCTGCCAGGACTGGTTCTGATTTGTTGTAATCTCATGTATGGAAACTTTATAAAAGAACCATGGTTCAGGGTGGTTTGCCAATATGTAAAATGAAACCTTTTGTTCCTAAAATAGATAAACAGCAATAACTGAGTTGAGTGAAATGCGTAGATATCTGAAAAGGCAAGCAGAACATAGTTTTGCTCACTTGGCATTGAAAGCATGCTTTTCTTACTAAATCTACTGCTCTTATTTTCAGAAAGCAACACTTGACTGATAAGACTCAGATTCAAATTTGTTCACGAATATCATTTTTGTAGATATTACAAAATTATGCATAATCATTATCTTTTTTAAAGATTTAAAAAGGGATTTGATGGTATTTTATATCAACCATGAAAGTGACTCCTGATTCCTTTCCATTTTTCCTTTGAACTTTCCAGTAATCTAAGTAACTACTTTTGCTGTATTATTTTATAACTGCACCTACATTTTAAAGATCTTTATTATAAAAGTAATATGTTTACTATAAAAATATATAACATTAGTTAAGCAGAGTAAATCTCCTTATCTCACTGGACAGAGCTAGTCACAGTTAACAAGTTGGTTATGTACTTGTAGATATTTTATCTGCGTATACAACCATTTATAGAAATGTTCATTTTATGTGTGGTTGTATATGTACTGGTTGGATTTAGAGATACAATTTATGTAATCTAGAGGAATGGATGGGCTATATTTTGGTCATTCTCCATCGCTTCTTATTTTTAAAGATTTGGTGAGCAGATGATTTTATACTACGTTTTCTGCTGGAAGCCAGGAGGACAGGCATTCTGTGTTGTCACTGAGAGGGAATCCATGCTCTGTGAGAGCCTAGAAGAAAGGTGGCAGAGGGAGGGTCAAGAAAAGCCAGCGTGAGAAGGTGACTTATAAGCTAAGCTCTGCAAGGAGGTGAGAACAAAAGTATTTCAGGATAGAAGGAGCAGTATGTAGAAAGGCAGGACATTATAAAGAATGTACAACTGCAAGTAGTTTACTATACATGAGGGTGGGAAATGGCAAGCAATGAAATTAGAGGGATATTGTTCACGCTAATGAAGATAACAAATGAAAACAGAATAAACAAATGGTAACAGGTGTGTTGTTGTTGTGTGCTGTCGAGTCAGTTTCAACTCATAGTGACCCTATATGACAGAGTATAATGGCCCCATAGGGTTTCCTATGCTGTAATCTTTATGCAAGCAGAATGCCACATATTTCTCCCGAGGAATGGCTGGTGGGTTCAAACTGCCTACCTTTCAGTCAGCAGCCAAGCACTCAACCATTGCCCCACCAGGAATCCAACTTGGCGACTAATTGGGTGAAGAAAACAGAGGAGAATCCCAGTGATTTGAGAAATTAAGTGGAAAGCAGTACTGTTCCCAAAGAGAGGGAGCATAGGAGGAGGAACAGCTTTGCACATGTTTGGTATGAGCTGGCTGTGCGATATCCAAGTGGAGAAGCTCAGAACACAGTCAAGATATGGGTTCACAGCTCAGCAGAAAGGCCTGGTCTGTAAATACAAGTAGTTGAAGCCAAGGGTGTAGATAAGGTCATTCTATTAGAAAGTCTAGAATTAGAACAGAAGCAGTATATAGAACCCAGAGAAAAGTCAACGTATAATGAACTGGCAAAAAAAGATGGCGGAAACTGAGAGGAGAAGCCAGAAAGGGAAGAGAAAAACCATAAAGGAATATTGTAATGGAAAGGCAAGGGAGCAGAGAGGCTCATGAAGGCGGGAGTGGTCAAATGCTGCCGAGAGGTGAAGAGTTCCAGACAGATGCAAGGATTTCAAAGTTGACTTTTATTTTAAAATTCACCTCTTTGTTCATGTAATCCTGTCCTTCTAATGTGTACAGACATTTTATAAAAATCACAGAGATGCCATAAAGGGTGTTAGAGGGCCTGAGAGCTTAGCTCTGCCTTAGGCTCCACCAGAAATCTATGTGGACCCTTGAGAAAACTTTTTACCTTATTGTATTACCTAGCTCATCTAAAAGGCTGAGGTATATAACAAACAATGCTCATAGTAAATATGCAGAACAAAACTCTTTTTGTGAATGGCTTACAATAGCAATAATAGCTTTATTTTTGGCACGTTTTTATTGGCCACTCATCATGCTATGTAGGTTAACTCATTAAATCTTCCCAATAACCCTAGGAAGTGGATATTATTATTATCACCACCTTTTGGTTAGCAGCCAGACTCTTAACCACTACACCACCAGGGCGCCTTACTGAGAAAACTGAGGTTTAGCAACTTGCCTATGGTCATACTGCTGAGGTGGGGCTGGAGTTTGGTTCTATTCTAGAGCCTGCTCTCTCAGCCTTCACAGAAGTGTGGCTGTGGTAAGGAACCTGCCCACACACTCTCCCCAATTATGCTACTGACAGTGTGCTGCCCAGCTAGTTACAGTGAAAGAACTTATTACTTATGGCCTTCCAGAAAAGATACACAAATTTTTTTAGTTATACCAAATTTAGTTAGTAGATAAGTTATTGACAGATTCAATTAAAATTCTGAGCAATTTGCATAAAAATAGAAAAGCAGACATAAATATGCAGAATAATGTCACAGAGAGAGTTTAACAGGGGATATAATTAAACTACAATAATAAGGAAGACTGAAGAAGCATCGACGCCTTTGAGTTGTGGTATTGGAGAAGAATATTGAATATACCATGGACTGCCAGAAGAACGAACAAATCTGTCTTGGAAGAAGTACAGCCAGAATGCTCCTTAGAAGCAAGGATGGTGAGACTTCCATCTCACATTCTTTGGACATTATCAGGAGAGACTAGTCCCTGGAGAAGGACGTCATGCTTGGCAAAGAGGAGGATCAGCGAAAAAGAGGAAAATCTTTAATGAACGGGATTGACACAGTGGCTGCAACAATGGGCTCAAGCATAAGAAAGATTGTGAGGATGATGCAGACAGGGCAGTGTTTCAATGGCACCTAGCAACAAAAACAACACGATAATTTAGACAGAAACAAGCTATTCTGTGTCATGATAGTATAGTTTTAATAAGAGAGAAACCATCATTCTGTGATTTACAATGCATGTAAGTCTAAAGATAAGGAATGGAAAGAGATTTAGAAGTCACTAAAAAAAAATGGTATTTGAGATTGTGGTTGAGCAAGAACGACAGGGAAGACAGAAGAACCAGAAGGAAAGGCAGGGTTTGCATATTTGCAAAGGATAGAGACAGTGGAACAGTCCCTTTAAGGCAGGCCTAAACTTAATTACTTTTTTAATAAAAGAGAATGTGTTTAATCATAGTCTGATGCTTTGCAGACTTGTGGGCATATTTAGCAAAGCAATAAGACATCTATCTTCATTGTTATTGTTGGAGATATATAAGAAGATAGGAAAGCCATTGGAAGAACTTTTAAAAAAAAAAAAAGGGCACTACTATTACAGGGAGCAATAATACCATGCCTGTCCTATGGTCCTACTGACCTAATGGAATGGAGAGGGGATAGGGAGAGATTAGTAACATATCTGGGCATCTAGTAAAAATATCCCAGTGACTTCATCCACACATTTGTGTAAACATCACCTCATCAGTCCCAGAGAGTTCGACAGGAAACAAATCTAAATGCTCCTCTGCTGTTCTAAACATAGCCAGTCGGTCGGCATATGTCTCGTCTGTAAATACCCAGTCTTAATTGGAAGTCTTTATTTTAATATTTCTCTCTTGAAGAGAAGGTTGCTGAGTGCATGCTGTATTTGTTCAGGATATCTGCTTTAAGGTCTGACCTGCAGGCTTTCTGTTAAGTAATTTTTAAGCAAAAATAAACAAACAAAACACACACACCACCACCACTACCACTGTCTCTCTAAGCTCTTTATGCAACAACAAGATGTACTAATTGCTGAAAGCTCGCCAGGTTCGAATTACTAAATATTACCCTAAGTACTGGGAACCAATGAAATAGTTAGCTAATGATTTTTCTTCGACAGACAGCATCAGAATTTGCAAAAAGAATTTATCTCATATATTATTTTTCAAAGAACTCAGCAACAGGCAAAAAATAATAAGCTCATGTTTCCATAAGATGTTCCCAATATGCTCTTTAATGGATTAAAGGTATTGCAATGAAGCAGTTGATAACATGAGTGGCTAGCCATATATTGTAGATTAAAGTTTTTGCTGAGATTCTGACTTTCCTTTAGCCTCATTTCTTTAAGCCTTTTAAGAACATCCTATTTCTTCAACAATCTAGGCTATTGGACTATTTGAAATTAAACATCTTATTTCTTCCTAAATTAAAAAAAATTTTATTGTTATTATCATACGTGGCAAATCATTCTTATGAGTTTCTCAATGCCAGTTAGTATATATTATAACCATCTTAACAGTTGCATTCTTATACAGGTATTCAGCACTTATGCCCTAACCAAACTTTGCAGGTGATAAAGCTATCCCTGCGGGGGAGACGTTTTACAACACATCTGACTACTCTGTGATTTGAAATGTGCTACAAAGCTGTTTGAACAATAAAAAGGAAAATGAGATGGTGCTGAAGAGCCTGTGAGCCTGTGCCTCAGCCATCTTGTTCTTCAGCAGTGTGGGAGAAACTGCAAAAGAAATGTGCATCTGACAACACAGAGCAGGAACAGTGGTTTACGTGCTCTTATACTGAAATGGAGTCCCTAGGTACTGTGAATGGTTAATGTGCTCGCTGCTAACCAGAAAGTTGTGGGGGATTCAAGTCCACCCACAGGCACCTCAGAAGAAAGGCCTGGTGACCTACTTCCAAAAAATCAGCCAATGAAAACCTTATGGAGCACAATTCTACTCTGACACACATGGGATCACCAGGAGTCAGAAGAGACTCGATGGCAACTGGTTTGGTTTGGGTTTTGTAATAAAATAAGCTTTGTAGTTCCAGTTTGATAAATAGGTAGGTTTGTTAAATTCCATTGAAGAAAAAATAGATATGATGTTGCTTTCATTATTCTTTGACATTATTTCATTTTTCCATTAAAAAAACTCAGACTCACGACGATCCTATTAGTGTCACAGTAGAACTGTGTTCAATAGGATTGTTGTTGGCTGATATTTTTGGAAGTAGATTGCCAGGTTTTTCTTCCAAGATGCCTCTGGGTGAACTAGAACTTCCAATTTTTGGTTAGCAGTGAGCATGTTAACCATTTGCACCACCCAGGGACTCAATTGATTCCAAATAAACCAAACCTGGGTGTGTATCAGGGCAAGGTGCAGAAGACAGACAGACCAGCAGGCCTCACTCACATTGGGGCACATGTTTGGATGTTCTTAAGCTGGAAGGGTAATAAGGAGACAGGAAAGAACCTTCATCTATCTACTGAAATATTTCTGATTTTAAAAATATGAATCTTTCTGAAAGGACAGTAGTACTTCTAATCATACATTTTTTCATCCAGGTGGTAACACCCAAAGACCGGAAAGCATTGATAAAAACAAATAATTCCCATAAAATGTATTTGTTAAAAATTATCTCTTTCTGATTCCTTAGAATTATATGAAATGTTTAGGAAGCTCTACTATTATGTTTCAACAACAATTCAATACTATCCTATGTGAAAAGATAAGTCTTTCAAATAGACAAAGACAAAATAATATGAGCATAATTGGGAGGAAGGCCAGTTACCCTCTGGCTGCCAGCTTTCCTGCTTTGCCCTCCGCATGGGTGTCTAGAGTCTTTGTGCCTCCCAAGGACTTCTGTAGGGCACACTGCCTAAGAGGCTCCTCCTTACACAGCACTTCAACCCCTTCCCTCCACTCGGGAAGAGTGAATATGAGACACAGACTTGAACCAGGCAGTCTGGGTTTAAATTCCAGCTGTGTGACCTCAGACAAACTACTTAACTCCTCTGTGTCTCAATTTCCTTATCTGTAAATTGGGAGTAATATCAGTACTTACTTAATAGGTAAAAAATAAGTTAATACGTTCTAGAGTTCAGAACAAAGGAGCCCTGGTGGGGCAATGGTTAAGCACCTAGCTGCTAATCAAAAAGACCTGGTGATCCACTCCTGTAAAGATTACAGCCTAGGAAACCCTGTGGAGCAGTTCTACTCTGTCTCTTTGGGTTGGTATGAGTTGGAATCGACTTGACAGCACACAACAACAACAACAACAGCGCTTAGAACAGTGCCTAGTACATAGTAAGTACTCTGTAAGTGTTAACAATAACAATGTAGCAATATTAATAAAAACAATCATCGTATTTCATGTCTTTTTTCTTCTCCCTCACCCCCACAAGCAAAACTTGCCAGGCCTGTGTCCATTTCCTATCAGCTTTTTGAGGTAATAAGTATGCTAGTTTTATTAAACACTACTCAACAAGCTGTTACTGGTTTCATATGCTACTTGTCCCCAGGGGACAGAGGAGGACTGCCAGTCACATTGCTGCCTTGCTGTTCCTCAACCCACACCCTGCGTGCTCCTGCCTCAGGGCCCTTGTTCTTGCAGTTCTCTGTCCCTGGAATGTTTTTCCTGAGACATCTACATGGTGAATTCTCTCTTAATTCAGGTCTCTGCTGGAATTTCACCTCATTAGAGGGGCCTTTTCTGATGACCCCACCTAAAATAGCAGCCCCCCCCCGCCACCATTATACCCTCACCCCTTAAAAATAAAAAAAGGCCACTGCTGTCAAGTCTATTCCGACTCATAGAAACTCTATAGGACAGAGTAGAACTGCCCCATAGGGTTTCCAAGGTGGTAAATCTTTACGGAAGCAGACTGCCACTTCTTTCTTCTGCAGGGCGGCTGGTGGGTTCGGACTGCTGACTTTTCAGTTAGCAGCCGAGTGCTTAACCACTGCACCACCAGGGCTCTCTCTCACCCCTTACTCTGCCTAACTCTCCTCCACAAAGCTTTGCACTACCTGGCATACACTTAGTGTCTACTAAATTATTATCTCTATCCCCATTAGAATGTAAACTCTAAAGGGTAACAACCTTGTTTTGTCATTGCTGTATCATCAATACCTAGAACAGGGCTTGACATGTGGTAGGCATTTAATAAATATTATCTTAATAAGTGATTAAATTACTTAATCTAAAGAAGTTAATCTTTAAAGGTAGATATTTCAGCTGGTGTGGCAGGATGAAAGTGCAAGTATTTTAGACAAAAAAGCTATCTTGGGGCCACTTAATTCCTATAATAGACCAGCACCTGTTCCACCTGCTAAGACAGAGTTAGTCACCTCAGTGCTCCCACCGCATTTTATATGCTTCTTGATTATAGCACACACCACTTTCTACTGTAATATATCTGCTTATGTATCTTCTCCCTACTACATCTCAATAGCCTCAAGGATAGGGAACACGTCCTGTTTAACTTGGTACGCCAGCACTTAGCAGTTCTCATAAATGTTTGTTGAACAGATGTGTAAGGTTGATGTTACTATGAATTGTCATATAGCCTGTATATTACAAATATAGGGAATAAAATAGATGCTAGAATAACTTTTATATTTTTTCACAGATGAAGATGACAACATGATTTGTTTGAATTCAGAGGACGTTATGCCAGTTGCTCTAATGGAAACCAAAAACCAAGAAGGTTTAAACTATATGGTACTAGCTACAGAATGCAGCCAAGGTGAACAAAATTCAGAGGGTCCTCTAGGCTCCAAGGAATCTGAATCTTGTGGTCTGAGGAAAGAAGAGAAGGAACCACATGCAGACAAAGATAACTGCCAAGAAAAACAAGTGGCTTACTGCCCTTCTGGCAAGCCAGAAGGCCTGAACTATGCCTGTCTCACTCACAGTGGCTGTGGAGATGGGTCTGATTAATGGCTCTGGTTGGGAAATACAGAGCTGAGATAAACACTCCCATTAACTAGTTACTGAGCAAAACCCCTAGTAGAATGATAGATGTTGTGGTGGTCTATGACTCCAAATTAATACTGGAAAGTTGGAGAATTACTAATCTCGGTTCCGAGAGTCATTGGGTTTCCATTACGACAATCCCCATACCAGCTGCCTAACTCCCAGTAGATTCTGAGGTGAACCACTAAGCATCTGGAAAGTTTAAAGAGATCACAAGTCTGAAATGGAAACACTGCTTTCCCTGTAGCTTGAGGTCCCTTAGGCCATTGCCCATGTTTCAGCCTGGGTGGCCACCCAAACATCTTGGTCAGATGGTTAAAGACAGAAATAAGTATATTCAGGGGTCTGAAGGAGGGGGATGAGAAGCATGCTTAGGGGGCCAACTGAACTACAGATTATCCCAAAGGAAACAGGAAATGACAAAAAAAAAAAAAATCTCTACACATACAGAAGGAACCAGCACCTATGACACACAAATCATTTGGAAAGCTATTCCTACAATAAAATATTGTCTTTAATCACTACTTACTCTAAAATATTTTGTATATTGGAGGCTTGAAACAGTGGCTGCGATCATACTGAAAATAGGTCCATGATGATCTCTAAGTCCTAAAGTTTAGCTTTGCACGATTTTTGGTTGTATACAAATCACTCTGTGACTTGTGCGCTATTATGGAACTTAACTAATATGCAACATTGTTTTTATTTGCCATATCTATTTTACGGATAAAATACTTAAAATTGCATTTAGCATCAAATTATCCTTAAAATTAAATATACATGATTCTACAATGTTAATAGCTATGTGATTTTTAGCAAACATACAAAATAATAAATACCTAAATGAGAAATATATTTTTAAATTCTTCACAGAAACACTCTGACTTAAAACCAGTACATTTTTTGCAGTTACCCATTTAAACCTTAAAGTCTCATCTGCTCTAACAGAAGCATTAATAAAAGCATTCCACATGTTATTCAGTTTCAGCATACAGGATGTTGGCTAGATATAGGGAGGAACATGTTGATTAATACATTTGCTAAACACTGCTGTAGAAGAGGATCGTGTATCTGCTTCCACCGTGGATAGTTTAGTTAATCTTTTACTTGCCTACTGCCTGAGAAACCACACAGGTGATTGGCTGTATGGTGAGGAACACTGGGAAGTCAATCTTCATTCTGTAGTGAATAGCCCCCAAGTAGAGGTCCTGGATTGCAGCCACTCAGACACATCTGATGTTCTGCTGAACAAGGCAGCATATTTTCTTCCTGACCTTCTGACCCTCTAATAGGAATTTATTACTATTTTTCGATAGCCCAGCATATGATAGCTCTTCCTGTGTTTGAGAATTCCTCTACCTTTAAAGTCTAGGTGGGAGCCCATGTTCCATTTGGTCCCCCAGGATCTCTTGCAGCAACAGGACAGGCACGTGACCTCCACCACTCAAAACACACCCACTCCAGGCTTTTAGTTGAGAGCCAGGGATGCAAAGAACTGGGGACCACAGTGAGTCTTCCTTGATGATGGTAGGGACTGCAATAGCTGGCTCCTGGCCCACTGGAGGCAGTGGTGCTGGAGGTGGCATCCAGCGTCTAGGGCCAGTAGAGTCGGCTGTGCAAGTCCAGAGTCTTATAACTACGGACAGCCAGGGTAGCCAGATTGGGCCAGTTCTGCTGTCTGCTTGTAGCTATTACTCCCACTCAGAGTTTGCTTCTCCAGCCCTCCAAGGGAGTCTGTGAGCTACCCCCATACCATTTTAATAAATGCTTTTCTGTTAAAACAGCCAGTCTGTGCTTGCAACTAGGTTCTTCGCTCTGCTAGTGCCATGGACCTTTATTATGGAATTTACAAAGGGATCAGAAGTGTATAGAAGAATTGGTGTAATACACTTACATTAAAATTTGGACAAAATCGAATTTATAGAATATCTGAGGGGAACAGTCTATAAATTCTCATGTTCTAGTTCAGAAATAAATGCAGACTAGTAGTCTTTTTTATAACTCATATGAATAATACAGGTAGAAATATTTAATGCAAAATAAACTAGTGACTAAAATCTCACATGCAAAATTTGTTGTAAGTAAAAATGACTGATAAAGTACAATTGGTTGGTATTATTGCAAATCACATACATTAATTTTGGAAAAATTATTTCATAATCAAGAGGGAAAAAATTGGCAATGGCTAAAACTGGTACTTATTTAAATGTGTTATTCACCAAAAATTCACAGAAAAAAATAAGAGTGAGCTGTATGTATGGATACGTAGCAAAGGAAACGGCAGATTTAAAAGCCTTCTCTGAGGTGGAAGCCTGCTGGCATATGAAAGGAACAGCCTGAATGTCAAGGTGGCTGAGTGCAGTGAGGGAGGGAAAAGTGGTAGTGGAGACCAGATCATGGAGGCCACAGTAAGGACTCTGGCTTTTTCTCTAAGTGGGATGGGAGGAAATTGTATAGTTGTGAGCAAAGGAGAGACATGATTTGACTTAGGTTTTATAAAGATCATTCTGGATGTTGTCTAGAGAATAGATTGTGTGGGGTGAGGCAGAAGCAAGAAAACCAATGAGAAGTTTATTGCAATAAATTAGTTGCTATTGATTTTGACTTATGGCGACCTCATATGTATCAGAATAGAACAGTGCTCCATGAGGTTTTCAATGGCTGATTTTTTGGGAAGTCGATTACTAGGCCTTTCTTCCGAGATGCCTCTGGATGGACTCAAACCTCCAACCTTTCAGTTGGCAGCCAAGCACGTTAACTGTTTGCACTGTCCAGGGACTCTGGTTATTGCAATACACCAGGCAAAAGATGATGACTTGGGCCAGGGTGGTAGCTATGAAAGTAATGAAAAGTGGCTGATTCTATGTTTCTTTTGAAGGTTTTTGCTGATAGTTTGGATATGGTGTGCACGTCTAATCTATCTTGGAGTTTGTCTCTTGGAAGCGCTTGTCTACTGCATATAGTACCAGGAGTGGTCCAAGAAGACAGACAGCAAGATGGGGTTTTGGGTCTGGCTCAATCACCACCCAAGTGGCTAAGAGGATGTCATCCTGAGTGGCATATGGGGCACAGACAGTCCCAGGCACAAGGTAGCTGCCCAAATGCTGAAGATTTCACTGGTGGTTAACTAGGAAAATGTCCAGTAGAGGGCCCTCGCAAATGTGCTCAGGTATGTGAAAGCTATGGAGGGAATAAGGCCTATGAAAACAGAGGAGTTCACTGATTGTTACTAAATTGTATTTATCCTCCACAGAGACAGCATGAGAAATTAAGGGTGGGGAACAAAAGGGGAAAAAAAAAAAAAAAAAAGGCCTGGCAATCTACTTCCAAACATCAGCCCATGAAAACACTATGAATCTAAGAAAGAAGAAAACCCTCTGGATCACAACAGTCTGATCAGCGACCAATCATGGGGAAGGCTCAGGACCAGGCAGTGTTTAGTTTCAGCGTGCATGGGATGGGGTCTCCATGTCAGGGACTGATTGACAGCAGCTAACAACAACAAATAATTAAAGGCTAAGAGTGAGAGCCAGAGACTCTCTTTTGTAGGTTAAAAAGAAGTCTTAATATCTTGCAGTGGGAGAATAGACACAGCTGAGGAGTAACCTCAGCATTTGACAGTGTTGCAAAGCTCCAGACGTTTTAATACTGAGTCAAGGTAGTTCTGTTATGTTAAGGTCAGGACCCAGGATAAGAAAACTTGGGACCTAAAACACAGGATTGGGGCATCTGGATGGATGCCTCAAGGAGTTTGGCTCTGAAGACCCCTCCAAACCCCCTGTGCTTGCAGAGCTGTCCCATCCCTGCAAGTAAGAGCAGAGACCTTTCCTCCACAAAGCTACCCCGTCTCCTCTCCTGACTGCTACGTTGATAACCAGTGTTAAACTCCAGCATAACTTGACTGGGGACATGCTTAGTCTGACAAAGAAGGAAAGAGATTACATCCCAAAGAAGACTCCAAGAATTAGCTAGCATGTACATGAGTAAGGCTGAGATTAAATTTTTAAGGTGCTTGACCAAGGGAGTGGGAATGTGAGACTAGATAAGCAAGGATTCGTTCACTTGGTGGCACTTTCTTGGGATATAAGATTTAACCTCCTGGCAAAGATCCAAGGAGCCAGGCAAACCTGCTGCTAGGCCCAAGCCAAATTTCCCTGTCAGAAAGTAGAGGAAGAAATAAAAAGGCTGAGAGAAGTGGGACAATGTTGAATGAACATATTATGTGAGGCCAGAAGACCCACCAGAGGACATAGTATTCACCAAGACTCTCAGGAATGTGCTGGTGAGAGGGGCACCAGCATCATTAAGAAGTTCTGTGGAGGCCTCCTCTCCAGGACAAGGATGATGGCAGGAGATTTGGTCACAGAGCTGGGCTCATTGACAATCATGACGGAGTCCTGAAGTAATATAGAGGCCAGATGGCTGCACTTGACCACCAGAAGCCAAGAGGCCACCCACCATCACCATGATGATGGAGAAGCATTAAAAAAGGCTTGACCATAGAGAGTTCTGTAGATGGTTAATAAAGCATGTTGCTCCCAAGGCAAAACTGATGGGCAGCCAGTGCTTAACATCTACAAGCAGAAGAAGGTAAAAATGTGGAGCAGAAGGCTGATGATGGTTCCGCCAATCAAAATCATGATTCTTGTTCTGTTCCCAGATCTGAGTCCATTTTCAAATCCACAACCCAGTTGCTAAAGAGGTGGCCAGGTCTTAGGCAAAAGGATCCTGCAACAACATTGCAGGTAAATACCGTAATGATTCCTCCAATCATTCTCCAAAGGGAACTAGGGTTATTTACTCCAGTAACTGTACACTGAGGAAAGCGGAATTCCCAGATATTTCTGACTATTAGACATAGGGTCTAAGTTGACACTGGTATCCAGAAATTCGAAGCATCATCATAACCACCCACTGTTAGAGTAGCGTTTATAGGACCAGGTATTAAATGGCTAAAGTCTAGCCTACAATGTGTCCACTGAGTCCATGGCCCAGTGGTCATTTTCCCACTCCCAAAATGTGTAATTGGGAATGATATACATGGTAATTGGATTAACCCCTTCAATGGTTTGTAG